GACATTGTTGTGGGCACCGCCATTTTGGCTCGTATGCAGAGCAGACGCAACTGCCGATCGTCACGATTCAAAAGTGTGACTTCCTCAGCATTAGATTCGGTGTTAGAAAGCTCGTGTAATATTGCTTTGCTCTGTTGCGAACGGTTTAAACATTTGTGGAGGGCGGAAAAACATTTACTGTGATTTCAAATAAAGCTTCAGATAACTGGCAACCATGATTTTAAGACACAATATGGCCAAGTGTCGTTACTCTGAAGCGTAGCTTATTTAGTGGCACTAATTGGCGCTTTGAAATAAACAATTGGATGTGCTTGAGCCTGCTTACCCACAATCTTGCAACTCTACCTCGATAGCCCGGAATCTGGGCACGATGGAGTTTGGGGAACCTATTGAAAACTGAGAACGTTATGGTGGAAGGACATGAAAAGGTGCCTGGTCAAGTATGTTTGACCCTGCCATGTGTGCCAAGTGAACAATACCAAACAACCACAGTAAATCAAATGGTGGTGCCTAATATTCTTGGGTGCTCTTTGGAGCTGTCCATCTTGATTTTAAAGAATTAGGCAAGAAAGGATGAGGCAAAAAGAACACAAGCATTCCTCATTATCACTGTCAAATGTACAGTCTCCTGCAATATGAAAGACCCACTGGGAGCGTGTGGCCGAGACGGAGGCGGGCAGGGGTGCAGCGCACGCTTCAGGCAATTTTATTTTGCTTCGGGGAGAGGACACTCACTCGAGGCTTAACCGGGCCAGAACACTCTTAAGTTTTTGGTTTAAGTTTAGTAGAAGAGCACACTCCAACAGCGTCATGGCCAGAGATATGGTCACAAAGGCTTGAAACAAGCTAGTCATCACTGATTTTACAGCGAAGCTGTTATGCGCTAGGATCTGGGAAAAAATGTGCCCGCAGCTGTTGACAGAAAACTGCCCATTGGTCATGGCAAGTACAAATAAATAAAAATAAAGAGGGGGTAACCAGCGTGAGTCAGCCTTCCGTGGCATTATTAAATAGTGATGTCCTGATCCCTTGTTATCATCTCTAGGCATCATCCTCAAAGTCGTCCAAGAGGTCGTCCTAGAAATTGTCCTCGAGGCAGTCCTCTAGGCACTGTCCTAGACGTCGTATAAATAAAAGCTTTGCTGATCCTCCATCTTCACGTGAAGTGGAAGGGCTTTACAATTTTTTTTTATCAGTTCTCTCTGGTGTAAAATGTCAGAGCAGGCACTGCAAAATAAACAAATATTACAGTTATACTAGAGTCCTGTATTTCAGAGATAAAATTAGTTGAAGAGCACATTTATTGGTTAGAATAATGGCACAGACCTCGCCCTTTAAAAGATTAAGAATAATCACACTGGCTCAGGTTCTCCGACAGAATTTGCTGCTTTAATAAGACAGAGCTGTGGCACGATGTTGATGAACTGCTCTCCGCTGCGAAACTGAAACTGATCAACACGTGTTGTGCTTTAGCCGATTCCAGAGAGTCCTGGCCTTGCGGTAGAATGGAAACTACTCATCGCAACGAAAGAAGGCTTGTTTCGTTTTGGTCCTGGGCCAGGGGCCTATTTAAGAAAATGATTAAAGTCCGGATAATTAGATTGTTAATCATTTTTGTATAATTACCTTTTTTAATATTGTGTTTAAGGGCATTGTTTCAATAGCCAAATTGCTCAATATCATCGAAAAACACTAAATCAACAAATTGCAGGACAATAAAAGGCACGCGGGGCATTTTAAAGTTTTCTAAAAAACCGCACAAAATCGACGGGTTTTTAAGTTTCGGTTTGTAATCGGAGCGCATCTCTGCCCCAACAGCACCGCGCCCCGTGGAGAAATAGTGCAACCAGCCTCTGCTGCGTTGTGCGAGGACAGCGCAGCAGAGGCTGGTTGCACTATTTCTTCACGGGGCGCAGTGCCGTCAGGGCCGAGATGCGCTCCAATTGCAAACTGAAACTTAAAAACCCGTCTAATTTTTGTTGTTTTTCAGAAAGCCATAAAAATGCTTCGCATGCTTTCTTTTGTCTACAATATGTTTATTTCGTGTTTTTCGATAATACTCAGCAAGATTCTAATTGAAACCATGCACTTAAACTCAATATTAAAAAAAGAAATTAACAATCTAATTATCTCAGACTTCAACAATTTTCCTAAATAGGCCCCTGGCCCAGGACCAAAACAACACAAGCCTTTTTTCGTTGCGACGAGTAACAATATCGAATTTGTCCACTTTTCGTGAAACAGCCTGTATATGAATATGGAAAGCATATTTCCAGTTTTTATCGATTACTATTTGTTATTTGAAAACATGAATTTTATGTTTTTGAATAAATCCAGAAAATGCTTGCTGGTAAAATGTTTAGTCATTTCGGATTTATTCATAAAACCCTGAACTTTGTTGTCCTGATGGCAAAGAAGAAAGACTTAAAAGGTCCAGAGAAGTTGCTCCACTTTTAAAATCGACAAAAGGAGGCTTAGCGTTTATCTCGTCAAGTTTTGCTCACGGGTCATTGTAGCTTCATGTCCCCACAGCCTTCATTCCAGTTTGGACCATACTAATCTTGTTTCTTACAGGAAGGAAAGGGTTTGTTTTTCTAACAGGGAAAGTTATGAACCTGTAGATTTCATAGGAGGGTGTGGGGGACCAGTCCATTCTGCACAGCTGTGAGGTGGAGTGATGGAATAGAATGGGAAGAAAATGAGCTTCCATGCGACTGCATCAAGAGATTTTAAAGTATCAACATTTACTGCACTATCTCATGTCTGCAAGTTCTGTCGTAGGATGAAAGCACCCTTGCCAATTGCAAGGGTGCCTGCAATGCCAAATCTAGCTAAAGAAATATCATTCAATACAAGCGTGCTCTTAATAATTTGCGTATGTTTGTGTCTAGATATCATTTATATTTAACCAGAATTCTGAAAAATTGAGAACACAAATTAAACCAAATTTTGGGGAATTTGGAATCTACAAAAATAAGCTCCAATCAATCCTACATCAGAAAAAAAAGTGAAAGCCGTTTACAACTCCCTGTAACGCCAAATTGGAGCACAGCCCTTGAGGAGGAGGAGTGAAGGGTACTGAGGGGAGGGTAAACCCCTCCTTCTCCTCCCCATTCTTTGATATGCTCCGGGAGGGGGGGAGGGGGAGTTGTCACGTGACTTCGGGGAGGGGGGAGGGTCACGTGACCTCGGGGAGGCGTGACCTTGGGGAGGGGACCACGTGACCTTGATAACGCCGACGGCGACGCCGCTCAAGCCGGAAACGGGCGCCTAAAAGCTGTGCTCTAAAAAAAAAAAAAAAAAAAAAAAAACATGCAGAAGACATTTAAGACTGCTTATCTGTAGGAATGCAAAAGTATTCCTACAAGCAGCGCACCGCATCTTTTTTGTACAGGCGTGGCGCCCCCACCGGTCTTATGACTTTTGTGACAAGTATTTGCATTGCGCTTTGACAGTTGCATCATGCTCCCCCCCTAAGCAGGCGCGGTGTCCCCGCCAGCCTCACGGCTGCCGTGACAAAGCATCTGCATTGCTGTGCTTTTCTTTGCGTTTTATTTCCAAGGCGCGTCCACTTTGACCTTGAGCGATGCTTAGTTGACGACGTATTGTTGGCCATCTTTCGGACACACCGCCGACGCCTTTTCTTGTAATGGGACATACAAGGCATGTTCGTGCCTTAAAATATAATAAAAAATAAATTTGCAACATGCTTTGAATTTTACAAAAAAATAAACTCTGAAAACGTGGAACCCTAATTTAGTTTCAAGCTTTTTAGCGGGTCTAGCTGCTAAGCGGCTTGGCCCCGAAAATCCCCAGCTTAGGTTACGCTAACGTTGCACCTCCATAGCAACGGGCAAATCCATGAAATTCTGCGCGGGTCACGAGGCGAGTGACGGAGCGCCAGGAATCTCCTGGGTCGCCCAACCACGAAATCAGACACCTCGTTTGGTAGCACGCTGCACATTCCATTTTGCCTTTACCAGACTGCGATATTGGTCCCCCTAATTTCCACTGAAATTCCGAGTGCACAAACACTTTAAAGACCTCCATGACCTCCTCAGCTGCCTGCCAACCGCCGAGGGGCAGTGCCTCACGGCTTGGAAACCGGTCTCAGAATGATATTTTCGTGCTCTAGTTACTCGCAGAATGAGGATAGCAAAGCGCATCTTTTGAACGGCCAGCCTTTGGCAGATGCTCCATGCCTTCCGCCGCACCTTGGCTGCATGCGCACGCTTGAGGTGCATGAAACATTGAAGCGTCGTCGAAGATGGGGAGCGTGCGAGCTTGCTATACTTTGTTTCACCATAACTTCGCAAGAAGTGAACGCCGTGGCCCCCTCGAGCCAATCGGACCGACATAGGCGAAGTACATGACAGTTCTTGCCGCGGGTGGAGGTGCAAAGGAGCACCCCGAGGAGTTGAAAAAAAGAGGGGAAGGAGCAAGTCCTCCGCTTACCCGTACTGTCCTTGCCGTGTCCCAGACGTTGCTTTACTCCTTCTAGATTAGCCGTTCGTTCAAAATATGCACAAAAGCGGCTTTCCTCTCTCCCCCACCGGTGACTCTTACGGCGCTGCATCCTCTGACGCACCTAACGACTCACTGGGACGGAGCATGGCATTAACCGTAAAGGTAGGAAGCTTCTGGAAGCGACATGATGCCACCAGGGGTGAAGCCGGAAGTTAGGAGAGACACACGCCCCCCCAACCAAAACCAAGAGACGCCATTGGACAAAAAGGAGAACCGGCTCAACAGCTGTTTCGGTCACCCTTGGGTCTTTTGGTTTTGGTGGTCGTGGGGGTGTGTCCCTCCGCACTTTTGGCTTCACCTCTGGTGGCGTCATGTCGTCTTCGGAAGTTTCCTACCTCCATGGCACCGACCTTTCCGACTTCATTTGCCGCGTTTTCGGAATGGCTGCAATTCCCCACCTTCGTGCCGTCGAGCAACAATGCCAATGAGCCTCGAAGTGGCGAAACCGTGTAAAGGGCGAGACGGTCGAGTGCGCAGGAAGGAATCTCGAGAGACGTCGCTTTATTTCGTCCGGGTGTGGCCGCTGGCCGGAACGTGACGAGGCCGGGGTACTGGGACGACGGCAGCCTGCCCACGACATGGTGATGGTCCTTGCGCCTTGCTTTTCTTATAAAACACCGTCGAGACAAAACTAAAAGGATGAAGGGAAGGCTGGTCGCCCGGGGTGCCCGTGCTCATCCACTCCACCTGCAAAGGGGAAGCCCCGAAAACTTCTCAGTTATCTTCATCTGTTCTGCGGAACAACTGGTATATCAAAGTTTACGACGGTACCAAATACGCTGGGATCATGAAAGTTCGGCCAGAGTGTGGTATGGGGCCAAACGCTGCCACCGAGTGCTCCACAATCATTAAAAAGGTCATAAAAAAGTATCTGTCAGATTTAAAATTTTGTTTTTTTTCCGTTCGTTATACCGTGAAGACGTCGATTACCAAGTATTATGTCGAAGTATTGCGTCGACGTTTTAAAAACCACGTTTAAAAATTGTGTTTTTCGGACCGTCTGTAACGACCGTGCGACACCCTACGGCAGCGTGAGCAACAAAACGGGGTGGTAGCCATTTAAAAAGGTTGAACAGAACAGTGATAATGAGTTCGAAATTCGGCACAAAATTATTCTAAACACGACCACCAGAGTGTCTCCAACTCGTGAGGGAGGGCACAAGCTGGTTCTGTCAATGGGGGATGGGGCCAATCGTCCCTATTCCCCAGCCTTTCATTACCATGTACCATGTTTAAATAAAGGTTCCCCTGAGCTTGTGAAGGTTGTTCCCAGCCTTCCACCTGCCCCTCTAAGCCCAGTTAATTTTAATATCACTATATTTATGAAATGTGGCATGTCATCGACAAATTGGCCATAGTTATTTCAATCAAGGTAATTTATAAATCTGCTTGCTGCATGCAACTTTTTACCAATTTCAAATTTCACAAACAAAAAAAGCATGAACGATGAACGCGGGTTGACAAGACATTGCTGCATAACATATATATTTCGCATATTTGCGGCGGGTTAGCCCCATTGAGTGCGCTTCTCACTGAGCACTTGTGTATTGCGGGGAAGCAATACCAGCGGAGCCCGCAAGCTGTGCAGGTATTGCTTCCCTGCAGTGCACGGGTGCTCGGTGAGAAGCTCACTCAGTGGGGTTCTTCTGCCACGATCAACATTTTGAGCAGTACGAACATTTGTTCATCTCGAAGCAAATATTAAATAGCGTATTACTTGGAACAACCATTCAAAAATTATAAATATTTGAGCAACACTAGTATACCATGGTGCACGAGATGGAACAAAGCATTGCATCTTCTCCCAGATGTACTTCTGGAGTTCTTGACTTCTGGCCCTATTCTACCAACCCACCTGTCTTTCCTTTTTAAAGGACACATGCAAAGGAAAAAAAATTTTTTTTTAGACAGCTTAGATGGAAAAAGGATGTCATAAAACGATTTTACAACGAAGAAAAAAAATTTTTAGAGCTATATTCACGGCGCTATACGAATTTGTAGTTGGCGCTCGCGGGAGCCGCCACTGGTCACGTGGTAGGCCCGCGCGCCGCCGCGCTGCGTCGCCGCCGCACGCTGAGCGTTGTGCGAATGCCGCTTCAACGCGTTTCTCCACGCCGCCGTCGCCGCCGCCGCACAAGTTCGTCTGCTTCGGGGCGCCGCCGCCGTCGTCTGACCGGCGCACAGGTCTATCACGTCTGCTTGCGCTTTTTCAGGAGTTTCCTTTGGGCTCTAAAAGTTACTTATTCATCTTAGTTTTTTGTTTTACTTCAAACAAAGATGAATAAGTTACTGTTAGAGGCCATAGGAAGCTTCCGAAAGAACGCAAGCACCACGTGATAAATAAAGACCAGTCACGTGATAAATACAGACCACTTTTCCGCGGTGCCCGCGGGCGCCAACTACAAATTCGTTTTGCGCCGTAAATATAGCTCTACAAATTTTTTTTCTTCGTTGTAAAATCGTTTTATGGTGTCCTTTTTCCATCTAAGCCGTTTAAAAAAAAATGTTTTTTTCCTTTGCATGTGTCCTTTAAGGCAGAATGTGATACATGGCTGGCACGGTTAGGTGCCAGCAACGGAAGTCGACAGACCGACCGCCAGCCAAACGCTGACGCAGAGCTCACCTTCTGATTTATTGGACACCAGTGCCCATGTTACTCTCAATGGGGGAAAATATCAAGTGTTCAGACGTAGAGCAGGGTTTTCACGTTAGATCATACAATGATGATCCAGGTCATACTTTTTATATTTATGTAAAAATATTTATAATATATATAGGGTGATCTAAGTAACCTGGCTCAATCTAAAATGGACTGTAAAAATCAATGCCTGCACATAGCAATCTAAACTTTTGGTAAAAGGTGTATTTTACAGGTCGGTTTTTTCTTGTAAAATTACGTAGCACTGCTCTTTCTGTAAAATATAGGACCAAGAAATTGGCCGCGGTCTACGGCAGGCGGCAACTTAGACAACCAAGTCCAGTAGCGGGGTGTGTTTGGCGTCCGTATTGATATATGGCGTCGGGAGCAGCAACCAAAAGTGCAGCTGACCAGCGAAAGAAAGCAGACGACACGCAGACGAAATCCGTTAACAGCAAAAGCGCCGCCGTTATGCAGACGCGTTTTTTTTTACTTTAAGTTTTGCTTTTATTGTTTGCATTTATTTTTTAACCAAAGGTAAATTTCAAAAAGATTATGTTCATTTTAATAAAAGACGGTGGTCGAGAGCCACTGTGATAAGGAGGTAGCGCCATGTATCAATATGAACGCCAAGCACGCCCTGCTACATGACTTGGTAGTCTGCGTCGCCGCCCGCCGTAGACCCTGGCAAGTTTCTTGGCCCTATCTTTTACAGAAAGAGAGCTACACTTTGCAATTTTACAAGAAAAAACCGAGCTGTGAAATACATCTTTGATGAAAAGTTTAGATTGCTACATGCAGGCGTCAATTTTTACAGTCCATTTTTGATCGAGCCTGGTGACTTGGGTCACCCTATATATTTATATGCACGAACACTGCATAAAATTTTCTAAATGTGAAATTTCTACGCTTGAGGCGTGGAGATCGCCAAGGTTTCACGATGGTACTTTGCACCGCCATCAATTTTACACCAAAGCATACACAGAATAATATTTCCTACTTATTTGATAAAAGTTTTACGACAGATACGCAGAATATTAAAAATTGCAATAAAATGTATTTTTTTTGTGCAAACAAAGCTACAAAACATGTCAAAGAAACATGTTTTAGAGACACATTACAAATTATTTACCAACAACTACTTTATATAAAATGGTGCAAACTATATTAAAATGAGCATCTCTAAATGCATTTTATGAATATACAGGGTGTTTCAGAGAATGCAGGCGGAATCGCTCCTGCAAAAACTGCTCATCGCAACAAAAAAAAAGGCTTGTGGCGTTTTGGTCCTGGGCATTTAGGAAAATGATTAAAGTTTGGGATAATTAAGTTGTAAATTATTTTTGCATATTAACTTTTTTAATATTGTGTTTAAGGGCATAGTTTAAATTAGGAAATTGCTCAGCATTATCGAAAAATACTATATCAATAAAATTGCAGAAAGATAGAAGGCACGCGAAGCATTTTACGGGTTTCTGAAAAACCGCACAAAATTTACGGGCAGAGGTTGGTTGCACTATCTCTCCACGGGGCGGCACCGCGCCCCGGGGAGAGATAGTGCAACCAACCTCTGCTGCGCCGTCATCGCGCGACGCAGCAGAGGCTGGTTACACCATCTTTCCACGGGGCGCGGTGCCGCCGGGGCTGAGATGCGCTCTGATAGCAAACCGAAACTTCAAAACCCGTAAAATATTTCGCGTGCCTTCTATCGTTCTGCAATTTGTTGATATAGTATTTTTCGATAATGCTGAGAAATTTAAACTATGCCCTTAAATACAATATTAAAAAAGTGAATTATGCAAAACTAATTAACAACTTAATTATCCCGAACCAAAATGCCACAAGCCTTTTTTCGTTGCGATGAGTAGTTTTCGCAGGAGTGATTTGGCCTGCGTTTTCTGAAACACCCTGTATAAAAAAGATATGCTAAACCATTATTGTAGTTGCATTAGTAATTCAGAAACACGGCCGATTTCCCTAAATGTGGCAAAATTGCACATCAATATTTAAAGAACTCCATCTTTTATTTCTTTTAACTGAGTTAGCTTGTCTTTGTTACGGGGGCTTTGCCACATTACGTCGGCTCCAAAGAAAGGTCTTCTAGAACCAACATGGGCTATCGAGTGGTGCTGCTGTCGCACGAGCAGTCTAAGAAACAGTATCTTGCACTTTTGTTTAGTATTGCTGGTGTGAGCTTTCCCAACAATCATTTGACACCATCAGACTTCTTGTAACCATCCGGAACAAGCTGTACTGCCCCCATATTGTGACATTTGACATTGCATTCCCAGTGTTGCTGATAGAGGCTCTTGGCATCTCACCCAAATTTTAAATTAAATAGAATTTCGGACACAAGGATTACTGCGACTCGTAATTTGGGCTTCAAGTTCAGATGTGTCCATTGATCTGTTGAGTCTATTTTCAGGCAAATCGGTGACTGGCAAAAAGGTGAAACAAGAGGCTCTACTAGACGCTGGTGGCTCCTCCGCAGCCGGGCGGGCGGTGGCACCTACTTGGGCCAAGGGGTTCCTGGGCTGGCACCGTGCTCCTCAGTCCTCGGCCGCCAGCTGATCCGCCTCGGCCGGAGACTCTCCCACACCGTCGCCCGCATTCAGCACGGCTTTCTCCGCCTTCTTCTTTTTCTTCTTGGCCGACTTGGCAATAACCGAGCGGTTCAGCAGGGCCTGGGCACGCACGGGGCAAGAGCTCGAAGGACAATCCCCTCTGGGCCGCGTGCTTCGCTCGCGCAACACGTCTCGGAATCGAGGGAGCTCTAATGGAACACTAATGCCTGGCTGTTAGACAGCGTAGTTTACAGTATATTGTGCATTTTCGTTGCAAGAATTACTCCTGCACATTGCATGCGTCGACAGGGAACGTAAATTTACCACCTTGGCCGAATACATTAAATCTGGGCTACATTCAAGGTATGACAGTATACGAAACACTGTGTCAAAATGACGACGCATCTGTCCCAAAAATTGTTGTATAAAAAGCCGCCGCTCTTTAGTGAATTTTTTTGTCTCGGAGTTTTTAGAATATTCTGCCACGGCCAGTTATTGGCATATGATGCCCCATCATTAATGAATGAGACCCGCAAGTCTGCTTTCCTCCAGAGCATACAGATAACCAAGCACTGCTTTCAATGGATTATAAGTAAATTTTGATGCCTAATCTTTGAGGCTTCTGGCATGCCTCAGCGACAAACTAAAAAATAATTTACGCCATTTGATTCTTTGTTGTGGTGCCACATCCGTCATACTGTGGACACTTTGGCCAAAATTTCGTCAACTGGAAACTGTCATTGACAGAAAATTCTGACAAATACTAATGAGGCACAAAATGCCAATCCTTTGCCTAGAGTGACCAAAATGGTGGGAGCAGGGTATATTGTGCCTGTTTCCCTACACTGCAAACTTCTTTGCCAGGCATTTGCACCTGAGCTCCGATGACCTGGAAGCTTCTTCAACTTGTTGCGTGCAACATTTGGCTAGTGTTGGAAATTGAGACCGTCTACCCATCGCTACCTGTAATGCGACCTTGGTTATGGTGGCTCCACTTGCTGTGTCTTTTGCGTGTTTCACGGGCTGGACTAGGGATGCCCAAGGACGCCGAGACCACCTCCCTCGTGAAGGAGGGATGGTATGTGGGGGGAAATGGGAGAGGAACTGTTTGCTCTGAAGAGAGCCTATTTTAGTCAGTCAAAACACGACGTTTGTTAAAAAATGGTCGCCGTGTTTTCCTCCCCCAACGAGCTCATACTAAATGCGCAACAGTTAGCTTGTAATGAAACCTTTTTATAACACGAGCAGCGATTAGCACCTTTTGTAAAAATGCAGCTAGCGGATAACGCTTGTGAGAGAGGCACAGCAGTGCACGTGCGGGTGCAATGAGCACCGTTTGTGCATGAGCTGCTGCTATGCCGTCAGCAGGAAGGAGAGTTGCCTTGTGCAATATTTGGATATGAAATGCTGGACCAGTGCAGTGCTGTGCGGCAACAGGACAGCTTATCTCCGACTACGCAGTCATTTGTTAGGGTCCTTCTGTAAACCTTAGTGACTGGCATTTGCGGGCTAATTGAAGTCGATAGGCGGGCCTTTGACATCAGAACACGTTGCTAAATCTAGAAAATTTTGTACTTTAAACTAAGCAAATGAACAGAAGGCTCACACTGAGTGTCTCGTCCTCCACCTTGTACTCCGACTCAAACACATCCAAGTCCAACACGCCACCCGTGATGCGATGCGACCCCGACGGCATCAGCAGCACCGTGTACTTGAACTGCGCCACGAATTCTCCTGCGAAGACAGGGAGGCAAGCAAGGCCCACTCATCACAACAGCGCAGAAATGCCGAACAAAAGGGAGACGGGAATAAGAGAAACTGTCAAAGTGCTGAAGTCTAAAAAGTGAATGGTAAACAGCCGCCTTGTAAGGTATCACAACACACGGTGTTGTGAATTGAGGGGTTCACTGTAATATCAGCTGGAAAAATCGGTGCCCGCACATAATGAGCTCAAACTTTCACCAAAGCTGTATAGTAGAGACGCATTTTACTTTTGAAATATCAAAACGTAGCTCCCTTCCTGCGAAAAATGAGACTACCAGTTTTGTTCAATGATGGACGGCAAAAATCGAGTTAACAGAGGTTGCAGCCTGCACATGACGGCAGCGTCCGCTTTCAACCGAGTGGTCTTCTGCTTGTTGAGCCTATCGGAGAATGGCACCACAAGCATTAACGTCAGTTAACTCAGTCGTCTGTGCCAGCATCTGCTGTTAAAAGTGGCAAGAGTTAATCTATTTTTTCACAGGCGATAAGTAGAAATTTCACAAGACGAAGCCCAGTACTAAAATAAACCGGTGGTGAAAGACTGAGCTCATACATGCATCTACCGATTTTTCCAGGTGATTTTAGGTCGAGCCTCTAAACTTATAATGCCCATATAAAACATGTAAGAAAACAAGTGGTCAGTTCCACCCCCCCCCCCCACCTTCTTTCTCGTAGAGCACTTGAAATGGGTCGAGCAACTTGTGGTTGACACACTCCAGGACTCCCATCTTGGCCTTCACTTCTTCATCAAAGGCACTGCAGGAACAAGGTGCTTCAGTCAACTCACACAATCCACTTTGCTCCTTTCACTCAAACCATGCAGCTACTATTAGGTCATTTTGCAGTGTCGACAGAGTTCACACCAAATGGAACGGCAGGCCTGGTAGGTATTACAAGGCGATAAAATAAGAGTTGAGACAGTTTGCTGCACAGCACAGCTAGTGAAAACATGACATTGGCATGTTGTTTCATGTTACTAACTTCATTAAGTTGCTCATTCAGCATCTAACAAAATTTTAACCACTTAAGTTGATGCCTTACATGCAAACATCGCAGAATACTAGCAACTTTAAACACAGACATTCATACATGTCAGAATTCGCGACTCCAGCGACCTATAGGGGGCGCCACCACCAAACAAACATGGCGGCTGGGTCCAGGTCGCGTCGGCTCGGCCGGGCCGCCTGAACGGGTGGCGCACTCAATTTAACATATTTTTGTTTAATGCCCCATTTTATGGGCATTTGAACTGAGGCGGTTAAAGTGTAGCCGGTGCACATAAACTTGCCGAGCATAGTTTTGTTTTGCTGGTGTTTTTTTGTTCTTTTCATGTCAAACTTTCGTTTCGGAGACTTCGTTCAAAACCGAAACTATGGGCTCCGGAGAAACGGTAATAGACTCTTAATTAGTTTTGATCATGTAAGGACAGCGGCTATGGCTACAGAATTGTTCCACCGAGAGTAATTTTTAGCTAACTCGCATGCCTCGACCTTGCGACTTATCTGTCCGTGAAATCGAGCTTTTGTGCGTATCCGCGTTTAAGAAACAGCTCCAGTCGCCTGCTCGGTCAACGACACAGGCTGCAGGAAAATTACGAAAATTAAGCACGCACTTCTTGGGCCAAGGAGCATGTTAACCCACTGGCACTTCACTAAGCAGCTGATACTCGTATTTCAATTCAGGTTTTAGTAGCAATCGAGAAGTCATTTTGACGAGTGGGTTATGTATTTTATTACATACTATGTCCCACTAAAGCGATATTAGCATATTCTTCGGACTGAAATATGAACTTAGTTGACTAGCTATCAGGTGACCTGCTGAATAAAAGTATATTTGACAGACAGGGAGATACTATGCTTAAACTTCGCCAAATGGTTCTAGCCGGTAGCACGGAGGCGATTGCGGACACACTGAGGAGAGTCTTCATCAGAGATTCACTCAGAACCTCTCTGCATTGAACTTGACTTCAAATCCTGAACAAATAAAATGTTTTTTGTTTTTTTTTGTGGTTGGCCAACCTGAGCAACGTAGACGTATATTGCTGTGGCTTCGAAGGGGGTATAATATAAATATTGGAGGCGCGCAGATCCTAATGCCGTGGCAGCTACTAACTTTGCGAGACGCGTCCCCCACCTTTTGAAAGCAGATAATTTCCTCATTAATCATATGTAGGGTGTTTACTTTCCGGTGTTTATTTGTGAGAAAAATCGGCGGACGTTTTTCGGTGTTTATTTATTTTCAAAACACAGGTGTATTTCGGTGGAACGTCTCATGACGAGGCTAAAATCGGTGATTATCGGTGAAAAAAAGCGATTGATCACCAACAGAGTTCCAATTTTATTCACATAGTTCATACACTTCTTCTCTAGGAAGCAACTATTTCTCACACTTGGATATTATAGTAGATGCAAGCATACTTTCATGCTTGCATCTACACGCAAGGAACGTGCTGCCATCATGGCAGCACGTTCCTTGCGGTTCGCAACCCGCAATTATGAAAACGCACGCTCTTGTACGACACGGACGTTGGCATTCTCTTCCAGGAACCACAGCAACCTCTGAATACATGGCTTGCACCGACATCACTTGGCCAGACAATATGAGAAAAAGGCACGTGAGAGTTTACCCTCCACTGCGTTAATTTTTCCCCAAAAGGGGCCATGGGAGACACAATGGGGGAAAGGCGTTTGAGAGCTTAGCTTCCACTGCGTTCACCAGACGCTTTTGACCCCCAGAAAGGGGAGCGGACTGACGCCACCTGCAAGCCACGTATAAACACTGGAAGAATGCAGGATCCACGAGATAACACGTTTCACGAACCTCTACGGGGAAAGGGTTTCGCTAGGTCGGAAACTAGCAATGACCGGTGTTTTTCGGTTTTAACCAGGGCAAAAATATCCAACCACCGGTGTTTTTCGGTTTTAACCGATTTTATATTTTCGTCACCGACGGATGTTTATCGGTGTTTTTCGGTTAAAACCGGAAAATGCACACCCTAATCATATGCACCAAGCAGGTTTTCCTAAATAAAGTAATTGCGAAATTCGCCCAACTCCTTCAGTGTGGTCCAGAGGCTTTTTCGGCAAAAAGCAGCCAAGATAAATAGCCAACGCACCGGCCGGCGTGGGTGGCTTAAACTTGAAGCTAATCGAGCCCAACCAAACTTAAGAAAAGCAGCTATCGAACCTTCCCATTCAATTGACTGCAACATTGGAGTTCCCCTCCAGTGAAACACCTCGTCTGTCGTCCTTAGTCCACTGTTCTACATCCTTGTAAAAAACACTTATCAATTACCAGGTAGTCGTCACTTGGAATGTGATTCAAGACAGACAAGAAATCAAAACGTTTTTCCGTGATTCCTTTCCACCCAAGAAATCGAAAGCATGCGACCGTGGGTTGTGGAGTAAACGGGCTTTCAAACACGTGATGGAAGGAAGCAAACTACTGAGGCTTCACCACACTAATAAACACTCATGAAACCGTAAAAAGAAAAAAAAAGAAGAAAAAATTGGATTTTCGTTAATTTACATTGCTCGCTACCGCGCCGACAACACGTGTCTGCGAAAGCCACCAGGGACGCGAAGAGGCGCAGAGCGACCTGGACCGGCTGGTTCCCAACTTTCCCGCTTGGCGGCGTCCGTTTTGCTGGAGTCGCGAATAATAAGAAAAAAATTGCATCTCGATCGTTCTGAACAACCTGGGGATTACAAAAAGTGTTGTGCATGCATTGTGCTTTTTTTCATGTTAGGTCAGGGGAGCCTCAAGTGGTTTCTGATGCATTGCACACACGACACGTTGATCTGGTCCCCGGGTTTACCAGACTCGTCTAAAAAAGTTTAAATTAATTAACTGACACCCCAAAGGTTTTTTTTTTTTTTCTGAAACGATGCAAGTTGTAGTCACAGGCATAAAAAAAAAATACTACAACGCAAAAGAATCTTTGCTGTTTTTCCTTTCTCCTCGCTTCTTTTTATTTGTGATGTAATCGATTATGAAATACAGGAGCTTTGTAGACAACATTCCTATCATATTTAATAACGGCATTTGTAAAACATGTTCTTAACACAAATGCAAATGCACTACAGCCCTTCTTTCTAAAATACCGAAAATCGGAGTGCAGAGTGATGTTGCCTCCTAGCTTTTTATCCTTTTTTGGACAACATGGCGGTGTGGTGACACTCTGTGCACGTAGCACTGAGAATGATCGGTGAGTTAGGGAATAAAGCAAAGTTCTCTTTTTTAAATGCCCGGTGACTTCTCAGATTTCGAAAAGAAAATCGTCGAACAGTCAAAACAGCTGGGTTTGTGATCTGTGTACAGTAGTTTCGTTTATGACTTCGCCGGGGCAGCCTTTCATGCACAACCAGCACAACATGGCCCCTCACACAAGTCCATTGCGCATTCTCTTTGGTCTCTCGTACCGTTTCAAAGAACTTGAGATCGCTGAAAGGGCCCTAAAAGAACTTGCAACACGGAAGTCAAGCGTCACCTGCTCACAGCGATAGGCGGCACACACAGAGAAGAGCGGTTGACCAACGGGACGGGGGCAAACATGACACAGGGTCGGGACAGCTCGGAGACGCGAGAGAAACTGCAGTTGCAGGACGACGCAATCTTTGACGTCTCTACACTGGCGTGGATCGCGCGGGAACTTCAGACTCGACTTTTGGAAATTGTTTTTTTTACTTCACAAATATTGAGTTCCCAAGTTTCGAATTTTGAAGGTAATGTCCAGGCATCATTTTCACCTGTTTCGGATAATAAAAAAAACTTTTAGGCGTTTCCACCCTGGTGAAGAAGAAAGACCAGCGAAGCTGTACTACGGTGAACAACCTCAAGGTTGTTCCTTGAGGTCGACCCATTGGACGACCTCAAGGATGACTTCTAGGATGACCTTGAGGACAACCTTAAGGACGACTTCTGGGACAACCTCGAGGACTACTTCTAGGACGACGCCTAGAGAAATTCCTCCAGGAGCGACAGCGGCGGCAACCCTTCCAGCCTTTCCACTCTGGTGAAAACCAGAGTGGAAAGGCTGGAAGGGTTGCCGCCATCTATGAGAAACGGCAGCAACTAGACAATCGGCAAGCGTTGCCGCTCATAGATGGTGGTAGCTGTCCAGAGGTTTGTGTCTACATTTATTTGGTGACGGACACAAAACTGGGGAAACTAGCCCTTAACAGCCCCGCTGTAAGATAATATGATTTTGACCTGTGAGTGCCCCTGTGGAGAAGTTGAGAGTGCAAAGAGCATGCTTCAATGCGAAGTTTCCATGGGTTACGCTTCCTCCGAGGGTGTGTAGGCGAGACTACCACCACAAGTTTGCCGTGGTAGTCTCGCCTCGCCGCATAGGTTGGGGTCACCTAGAGCCGTGCCAACTGCACCTAATATGAAGAAGCGTGTCGTCCGAGGGCGCAGTGCTCGCTTTGTCTTATACAAGAGGTGACGTCTTGCTTGGCCATTATGGGCAGCGATAACTGATCACGCAATGCTTTTTCTGGTGTAGGTGTCTCGTGCTGCAGGTGGAGACGTCAGTTATCTTACGTCGTGCCTTATAATACAGGAATGAGGTTCACTGTGCCTGCTACGCAGTCTATTGGCTGCTGTGCAAAGTCTTGACATCATATGCTGACTGCACTACCCCTCAGTTCGTTATGATGCACCTCGGGACGTCGTGAGATCACGTGGGGAGCTAAGCATAGTCATCAGGGAGTCAGATGCGCTCGCCGACGGTCGCCTGCACCAGATACTGTCGGCTTTCGTGAGCCTGCGGGTGGCACTCCTGTGCACCTCTTTCCTGGGGCACCGAGCAAAGTTGTCCAACTGCCGATCGCATCTGGGGCTCTATTCCCACGGGGCCATTTGGTAAATTCCGTTACCTATGTTTGATCATGCTAAATTATGATAGAGTATAGTGATTTATAACTACCTTATCATATGCTCGATATGCTCATGCATTGCCTGCTATGGGCTATGTGCGCATCGTCACCCTGGCCTACGTAGCAGGATTTTGTTACATTCGAAAAACCTGTTTCGCATGAACTCTAGCCTTCAAACAGATTCTGCATTAAAATCCCATGCTCGGATACGATTTCTGCCAATCATTGGTTTGTAGGTTGAGGGGCAAAGCAATCAAGGCCTATTTGAACATAAAGTGCAAAGCAAGCAAGGCCAGACTTACCGCAGCGTAAAGGGCATGGAAGCAAACTGCTTGTCCACGATGCTTACAAATGCTGTTGGGACAAAAAAAATATAAAGATGCTCTTAGATGAAATGCACCATCCAGAAAATTGGAGCACTGCTTTTAATGGCGGGCCACTTGTGCAACAGCAACTCCTATGTGACTGAGCTTTGCACAGACACCACCATTTTAAATGCTAGCATCTTGCAAAACAAATACGAGACAAACAAACAAAAACATTAAGAGGGAGCCTGTATTTCTTGACCAACTATGCCTCCGCCAGGTGGTAAAGAGCTGTCTCACATGATGCATCTTAAATGCCAAGATTGGTGGAGCCCTTATTAGTTTGGGATGAGGAGTGAAACTAGATGTGGAAGCACCCAGTATTTACATCAGTGCTTTCGACGACTTCCTAAAAATTTCTAGGGAGGTCTATAATAGCTACCACAATGGTCGTATACATCAATGTTGCAATCTGCCAAAGTTTTGAATGTCCATTCCGATGTTTAGAATATTTGTGCATGTCTATTTTGCACATACATGTGAAGTTCTAGGACCCTTACAATAATAAAAAAAAAAAAAAGACTTGGCCAGAAGAATATTATCAACAATCTTTTCGAGCTGCGTGGTTGAAATTTTATGACATGCAAAAAGGTTTTCTGCAAGGTAGAGAACCTTCACTCACCAGCCTTCCCATTTCCCTCTTTCACAGTGATATCTTGAAGGCAGGGGGGGTCGGGAGGGGGAGACTCCTTTCGTTGCTGCATTTTGGGGTTGGATACGCCGGGATAAGCTCTTGGCTTATCCGCCCCTAAGATGCAGCAACAAAAGGAGTTCCCCCAGGTCAAGATGCCAGTGAGAGGAGGAAATGGGAAGTGTGACGAGAGGGATCTTCCCAACCTGTGGAAAATGATTTTGTAGGTCGGCCTTTAACGGAAAATGCAAATTGAAAATGACACATCTTTTAAAACAGTTCTTTGAACCTTCTTTCACCACAAAAATAAACAATGCATTGCCGAACACTCATTCTCCACCCAAATGTATAGTGCTAGAGGTCCGAACCAGAGGCCAAAGTTCAGCACTAACTGGTGTCATATTAAAAAGTAATGTGATTTCTTAAAAACTTAAATGGGAAAATGACGGCTTCTTAAATACATGAAGCTCTACAGTGCCAGAAACCGAAAACGGGCAAAAATGGGTCCCATTTTCTCCGATGAAATTTTCAGAAAATCACTCGTAACTTTTGAATAAGATATTGATTCGTGCTGAAACTTTAACATCTGGTTCGGACCTCTAGTGCTACATTTTTGCATAGAATGAGCGTTCGGCGATGCAAATTTTAATTTTGAGGTTAAAATATTACAAGTTTTTTGGGGGGGATATTCTGTATAATAAAAACTCAAGACCGGATATAATCGTGGAATTAGCCGAATAGCCATTTGAAGCACTCTCAGAAACCCGAAGAGTTCAAATTTTTGCCTGTTTTCATGTGTGGTATTTTTTAAATTGTGGCGTCAGCTGCCATCTTGTTTATTTTGAGAAGTAGGCCTAGCCATCTTCTCTCCGTCGCATTCAACGGTAGCATCGTATCCTCACAAGAAATAGAAAGAAAGAAATTTCACTACGCAAGTGTCACATATGTGTAAGGTAACACAGTCGCCGACCGATTTTTCGAATGCCGATATACCCGGACACATCCCATTATTCAAACGTTTTCGCCGAACCATCACTCACCTTATAGAGTTAATGTATAACATTGACCGAAATTCCGGATGCCATAAAGCTTCTTGCTCTATATTTCGGACATTGATTTCCTCAGTTTACAGCCATAAAACAGCCGCCACGATAGCACAGCAAACTTAGTTGCCACCATTTTGGTTGTTTTGATTTTGCCCTGTAGCCTCGATACCACGTTTTATGCAATAAACAAGCCGGGTTGAGGCTATAGTCGAGTTTTCCGGTTCTGCTATAGACCAACTCATGTTTACCAACAAACCGGACCGCCCCTAGCGGATACCACCGTCGCCGTGCATGTGCGATGAAGTGTGGGCAAGAAGCTCGACGCCGCATATAAACAAACCATTGGAATGCTATAATATCGGCGTCGGTGTGAGTCCCTGTGCTTTTTTTTGCGTTGGAATTGTTGATTTTACGTCTAACTGCCACTGTCCGATTACTTTAGCGGCCTCAGCAAAATGAACGAGGCTCGTTACACCGCAAAACTTTGCGTGAATAATTTCGACATGCAGTGATTCATTCCGTGCGGACACCGCAGAATAGGCGCTAAAGCCTGATTCGCATTATGAGATTCTGCTCACTATTTGCAGTTGCGACATCGCTTGGGCTGCAAAAGCGTGGACAGTTACTGAGATGGTCGACGTTCATACTGAAAATTGCAAGCAGAATCGAACCAAGTGAATCAGGCATAACAAGTTGGCGATGACCACTGGTAACAATGATCAAAATCCCCTTGTATCCACTGTTAATACACCGAGCCTACGTACCCCAAGCTAACTTAAGTCTTTCAAGGCCTGCACTTACTTCTTATCGCAGTTACTGGGTCAATGTTTGGTCTACGGGATGCTGTTGTTTGAGCGAGCAGACGAGAAAAAGCAGACATGTTTGAAAGAGCAGACGACAGTTTGAACGATTAGGCAGCCGTTTGAACTTGGACGCACTGAACATAGTCCGCAGGTGGTCCGTACAACTTGGCGGTTTTCCCACAATCATGTTGGAACAAAACTAATAAATCTGACAACCACAAGTATCCGGAATTCAATTCAAAGTGCTTCCCGCACAAGCAATCGCGGTCCGACGGCATCTGGTTTTATTTTTCACGGCACCTATCAACGTTCTCAGACGGACAGAGCAGGCAGAAAACATGTGAAAACTAATCTTCAAACCTCTTCCAACTCTTTTTGTACAGCCCCAATAGCGGCATTCTGAAGAGAAGGCAGGTTTTTGTCCGGTTTCTTCCACAACAACACAGAAATGCACGCCCCACACAGTGACTTCCGCCCACAGCCCCAGAACGGAAGCGCGCCCGAAGCGCCACCACTGCGCCGTGACGTTAACAGAGCTGAGTTCATGTATAGCCAATAGGGCCGCCGTTTGTCCATTCTCGTGATAAGGCACCAAACTTACGGTTCTTCCAGTTCTTTTCGTGGTCCGTGTTTTTCAAGTATGACCGCGATAAGAGCGACCGTCTGCCGTTCTTGTGGTCTTTGAGAACATAGGTTTTTTGCTGATAGGCTTTGTATTGAAGCAAGTTTGGTGGACCAAACATTGTCTCCAAATAGTGCCAAATGGCGCCAATTTCAACTTCGCTGTTTGTGTTAACGAAGGCGCTGACAAAGCGCAGTACCGTGATCAAACAGATCAACAAACAAGTGAAAAGTGAACAATATAAAGCGAGAGTTGCACGAGAACTTAAAATTGACATCAAGCAAGTGGAAAGTAGCCAATACACAGCGGAATATGCACAGAAATTTTGATATTTTGGCTGAAATAGATTTTTTGGACCGCTTGATTATTTGGACGATTTCAGCGTTCCCTCAGAGTCCGAAAAACCGGTCGGCGATTGTACTCAAATGTGTTTTTCTTTTTTTGTAATTTTGGGGCATCTCCAGTTTGTGCACAAGGATTCTTATGCTTAATATTATTGTATCCCAATAAAACTTAGCGTGCATATGCAAATGAGCACATTTTACTAAGGCTCGTTCACACGCTTGCAACCGAGTACGACCGAGAGAGACAAGACCGGCTTTTAATCCTCTTGCGACGTCTTGGGACCGGGCGTGCTGCTGCGGAGCTGGTCCTAAGACGTCGCAAGAGGATTAAAAACCGGTCTGGTCTCTTTCAGTCTTACTCGGTCGCAAGAGTGTGAACGGGCCCCCTTACTCTCCTCCTTAGGTTTGTTGCCATGTTCCATACGTGCACGAGTACATGTAGTTCAGTACATCCAGTACATCAATAAAGCAAACTACTGTATCAAAAATAACAAAATATTTAGAAGACGACCAAGCATCGTAAACTGCGAAATTTTCATTCAGCTATAAAAAATGGAAGATTTTCGTCGAGCACATTCCTAGACAGATATCCATGTGGGCCCGATGAGACACCACTGAGCATTTCTCGGTCTTGCGGACGTAAATGTGGAAAAGAAAGTATCCTGACCTCGAGAAGCTTTGCTCCTGAGCAGGTACGTCTCGTCTGTACGCTTGTACACTGTTGTCCTCGTGTTCATTTCACGCCCCTGTTGTGGAGAGACAGAGTTAGTGCCCGCATCTTCCTTGGAGCTAGATCAATGCCGCCACTCTGTTGGCCTCACCTTGCCTTCTCCTGTGCTGACCAAGACGTCGATGGCATACACCTCGTGAAGCTCGAATTCGCATTTCTCGTGTTCTTTCCTGAAAATTAATGTGCTTGACATTAACAGTGTGCTTGCCCGATCAAAGTAGTGCAGGAATTAAGTTGTACCAATGTAGGTCATTAAAGCGAAAGAACACAGAAAAAAATGGAACGAACAAACATGCAAACAAACAAAACTTGCGAACAGACAAAAGCGAAGCTGTTTATGACTAGGGTTCCGTGGATTTTTCGTGCGCGTGACCAAAAATTCTACGCTTGCACCGCTGCTTACCTTCCCCGTATAAAAGATTCAAAGTAAATAACCAAAATAAAGCGTTGACAAATGCACGTGCAAGATGCCATTTGTTTTAGGCTTAGAACAGTTACTGCTGCAGATGCCGACACAAGCAACATTATTTACTGCATTCTCCTCGATGCTTGGGTAATTTAGCGATAGGTCTATTCAGTAGATTAGTTATCAATAGGTCAATTCAGTAGATTAGTTATAAATAGGCACCATTTTCAAGATCAGTAGACTCTCAGGTAGATAATAAAGGTTTCTCCAGATTTGCTGCTGTGCAACCCGCGTTGGCCATCTTGCACCGCCCTTTCTTTGTCGTCATTTCAAGCGCTTGCGTGCCTAATTTCCTTTGCTTCCGCTCTACCAGGGTGGCGGACCCGTCACGTGTGTCTACTTTCCGCCGGGTGGCGGTCCCGTCCTGCATGCCGTTTCCTCCGGCTTCTCAGGGTGGGTCTGTGTCGTCTGCTAAACAGCTTCGCTGGTCATCCACCCTCACAGAGTGGAATGGCTCATGATTTTTTGTTTCCTCTTATTCCGTTCGCTTTACTTCACCATTACACAATATTTTATGGCACATTGCTAGGCAATTGTGCTGCATACATAAAATGCTCAAGCCTCACAAATGTTTAGTTTCCAGACGCCTATGTTCAGGAGGCTCTTCATAAGGTAATTTAATGCGTGCCATGTGTACGCTTGATAGTTGTTCCTAGAATGAAGCAACACTACCACTAATCGGGCTTATAAACCTGGCAATCTTCCAGAGCTTTCCATACTCACAAGCTCCTCCCCCTCACCTACCCTTCCGGTCACACAACGTCCCCATTAACCAATCGGTGTCGAACACCTAACTTCTCCTCTCCCACCCTCAACCAATCGGTGTCGAGCCTTGCGGCCATGCTTTTATTCGGGCTTTACGGAGTGTCGAACACCTAGACAAAGAATGTTTCACGTTAATAGCACCTCAACTCGTGGTGACGTGTCGCGACAGGCTGGAAAGACACCCGCATAATGATCTAAATGGTCTGGGTTCCATTCTCGCCTGGTGCAAATGCTTTTTCATTGCGATTCCAATCACTGTCAAGCCTCATGGTCATGCTTTTATTTAGGCTTCACGTTTATCTGGGCTTCACGAAATGCCGAACACCCAGCCAAAGAATGTTTCACGTTCAAAGCAATGACCAATCCAGGCCTTGAACAAAGCAGGGATATAACTAAATCTTCACAAAAGTATATTCAGTGTGTGCAACTTAGAAATGAAACACCTTCCAACGAATCTAGCATCGTAATACCTTCTTGTAAAAAAACAATAGCATTTCTGGGCGAACCCTCCACACTTTCGTGCCTGTCGGTTGGTTTGTAACTAACAAAGAAGCCAGCATGCATCCTGTTATATACCTACATCAATTATTCACACAGGGGGTGACACACTTAACAAATTAGAAATATTAGCTTCTAAATGGCAGATACATTTGCTGAGGGCCTTATTATATTTATATATATTATTTGTACATTTTTAATGTAGGAGAGAAACATTTGAATTGCATTAATGCTACAAAAAAAGTTGTTGGCTGTTCGCAGCCCATTCGTGCGAAGCAGACAGACCGGAAAATTGTATGAACTGGTTTTAAACCTGACAGAAGGCATTGTGGACAGATGAAAAATATGTATTCCTAGGATTTCCCAAGCACTTTCTAAGCAGTCTAATAAAGACAAATTTAGGCAGTACAAGAGGGCGCAATATGCTACAGCATTTCTACAACAACCTGCACAGCGCTTTTGGCAACAATTTCTTTATGTGCAAAACAAGGCATATTCTTAAGCATTTGATTCCATACTTGAACCTGCTACCTTGACGGGCTGTGCATGCAGAACAAGAGGTTTGCACATGAAAACAACGGGACTAGGTCTTGCAGCAGGACTGCTGCAAGACTTAGTCCTTTCGCAAAAATCCAGACCCTGGCCGTACAAGGAACAAAGCATAGACCAGGCACGTTCCCACCAAAATCAGCTCCCGCCTGCTCTGCCCTAATTGACTCGATTCCAAAGGAGAACAGAAGCACAGTGGGAGGATTGACGGTAACCACCGACCTTTGTGCTTCCGTCGGATTCTGGATAATGGACTTCTCTCCGTCTATCCTGTACTGTTTCAGCTGGTGAGACAGCATTCCTGAAAAGACAATGGGCCCCGGAACGCTGAGCACAAGCGATACTGGGGTTAAACACGGAAGGGCTCACCTTCAACCGGCTTGCACTTGTAAGACTCCGCCACCTTCTGAATCACATCAGTCACGGCGTTGTTCTGGGTCGAAAAGGCGGGTCCACGATTATGCCTTAATCGGCACTTTCGCAGGTTGACCTTTCCGTGTATTTAAATAAACGGCTCTCCTCTCTAATGACGTCTTTTGCATTTACGCTCCCTTACAGTGTCGAGGGGCGAAAATTGTTCACTATTTTATTCACTACAAGAACCTAGATGCTGTTTAAAAATTTGGAACACACTTTTACCGATGTACAAAGTGAGCTTACAGCTAATAATTAAAATCTACAAAATCAGTCTAGCAAATGACAAAGCCCAAAAGGTGCCTGGTCTGAGCTGCGCTGTGCCGTAATTCACTGGGTTCTTTCTCTACAGTGTCGTTCGTTTTTACAAAATGGGAGACTTGTCCAAAAACTGTGCACCCACTAGTTCACTAAAAGCGCCATAGCACTTTAAAGATAAAGATAAGTGCCCGCCAGAATGAGACAGTACCACATTATTGCCTATCAAGGCCTAGTCATACATGCAACTCCTTAGAACCAATTGCCTTAAAACCTCTTACAACGGGAGAACACACTGACACTCTGGCGCCATCTATGTGGTGACCCTGGAACTGTATTTTACTAGAGCGAAGGTTTGGCAGTAATTGCGAGGTCAAATGTTTTATTACTCATGAGAAATGTTTGTTTATAACATTAACAAAAGTTGTTGGAGCCTACAAAGAAAGAATGATGCACGAAATAATTTAAAATACAGTTAAACCTGGATATAACGAAATTGATAAAATTTTGCAAAAATTCGTTATGTGGAGGATTTTGTTACATGCAGTTTTCGCGGAAAAACTCGTAAAGGACACATGAAAAGAAAGCAAAATTAAAAATCCACGTGGGCAAACTCACCACGTCATTTATTTATAGAGGAAAAGAAGCCTGTGAGCTTGCCTTGTGTCTTCCGCACGAGCAAAGGCAGCACGCAGCACTCAAAAGACACCAAAGCGTTTAGAGCGCTGTCGTCGTCCCGAGAGCCGGCGACCCGGCGTAATATATCGATGGCATTCAAGACCTCCCTCGCGGTAGGCACCACAGTCGGTTCAGTAGTTTCAGGTGATTCGCCATCGTCGTCGACGTCTCGTATGCTCTCGACCACGGCTTGGTCCGATATTTCCTCGGTAGACACGGCACAGTTGTCCGCATATAAAAAGTCACTCAGCTGGACACCGTCAGGAACCACTCCGTTTGTGCACAGCGCACTCCAATCTTCAGCGAGATCGGGGAGGCTTGACAGCTCCTCGTCACCGTCGTCGGTCGTGACACACATGTCCTTGACTATCTGGGCATTCCTAAAGCAATTGACGATGGTCTGCGTTTTTACTTCTTGCCAAGACGCCGCAAGCATCTCAATTGCTCGGAAGACGTCAATCTTAGTCTCCCGGTGGAGGCGGATGTTCAGGAGCAGTTGCGCAATCAGCTGACGTCGGTAGGCGCACTTTACGCTGTTGATAATACCTTTGTCAAGAGGCTGAACCAATGACGTGCAGTTGGCCGGAAAATACTGCAACTCAATGTTTGATAACACGAGGCCTTCCACATGGTGTACTGAACAGTTGTCTAAAAATAAACACACCTGGTGGCCCTGCTTCCTCACCGCTTCGTTGAACTCGTTTAGCCACTCACGGAAAATGTCCCGCGTCATTCACGCTTTCGAGTTCGCTAGAGTCACTAAATGAGCTGCGCTTAGAGTATCGGCACTCCGTTCCCCGACATTGTTGTGGGCGCCGCCATTTTGGCTCGTATGCAGAGCAGACGCAACTGCCGATCGTCATGATTCAAAAGTGTGACTCCTTCAGATTTAGATTCGTTGTTAAGAAGGTCACGCAATATTGCTGTGCTGTTACGAACTGTTTAAACATTTGTGGAGGGCGGAAAGGCGTTCCCTGTGATTTCAGATAAAGCTTCAGATAACTGGCAACCATGATTTTAAGACACAATATGGCCAAGTGTCGTTACTCTGAAGCGTAGCTTATTTAGTGGCACTAGAGTTCGCCACATACTTCAAAGGCATTCGTTTCGTTCCTTTAAAGCACCTGGGCCGGGCACTCCTTCCAATAACGAGCGGCACGCGCTTGTCAGATCCGTCACTGTTCGTGCAAAGCAAAACCGTCACTCGGAGTTTGCTTTGTTTGCCTCCATGACAGCGGTCTTCCTTTAACGTGAGCGTGCGGCTCGGAAGCATCTGGAAAAAGAGCGCCGTCTCGTCTGCGTTGTACAGATCCGCCGCTTTGTAACGATCCAAGATCTTCGGTAGCTCGTTATTCACCCAGGAAGAAGCACCATCTCGGTCCGCGGATGCAGATTCTCCGCTGATAACTTTCCCGACGATTCCGTGTCGACTTTTAAATCCTTGTAACCAGCCGTTACTTGCCATGAAATCATTGTGGCCTAAAATGCACGCATAATCCCTTGCTTTTTGCTGCAGTACTGCACCACTCATAGGAATGTTTTGCGCACGCATGTCTAGGAACCACATGAATACCGCTTTGTGCACGTCTGCGTAGGTTGACGACTTCAGCTTTTTCTTCTTGGAGCTTGTGCCGGCTTTCATTGCATTCCGGATTGCGTCTTTTGAGGCCAAAATTGTTGACCGGGAGCTCGCTGGAATGCCAAAATGGGCTGCAACATCCTTTTTTCTTTCACCTTCAGACACCGCATCCAGGATAGCGGCTTTGTCTTCAAGAGACAGAACTTTCCGTTTCTTAATAGTGGAGCTCATGCTTCAGGCGGCACGTTGACGGAACAATGCTGTGACTCACTAACTGACTTCACTTGTCCCAGGAAAAAAATATTCAAAAGATCCCTAGATCGATGGTACCGTCGCCTGGTCGGCCTGGTGCCTGGTCGGCCTGGTGCCTGGTGTTGAACTGTGACAGCGGTGAGCAACACGACTGTCGGCGTCGGCGTCAACTTTCGGGACCGCTGGTTTCACTTGTAGGTGTTTGTTTTGTGCTCATCTCTGCCCAGCGTTTGCTACGTCTCGTGAGTCGCAGCTTATTGGCGGGAGTTTCTGTGGGACGGCAAGACATTTGCGGACATGTCGATGTGTGCTCGTGAAACAACGATGAAATCGGATGCTGTCGGCTGCTCCTCGTGTCCCTAATCGCATCGCAGAATTTTGGCAAGTAGAGTCGGGCGTTTATTCGTGGTGACTTTTGTGTAGCGACGTCAAAAGACAGCTGGCGGTAGCTGCACGAGAGGCTGGGGGTCTGGCGGCGCCCGAAAAGCGCAACGGCGTGCCTCTGCTGTGCTCGCTCGCTGCCATTACCGACGTCTTTTGGTCGGCTGCCCGCCTTTGGTGGCAATTGGACGAGAATATATCTGCATTTTAGTAACTTGGTATAGGCACTGACAAAAAAAAGAAAAAAAAGAAATGAAGATTGCGGCGGAGCGAGTTCGTTAAATCAAGGTTATCCATCGCGAGCGCTTTGTTACATAGAGTTCACAAATACAAGCGCTCCTATGAAGATTGCATCTAGGAAGTAAAAAAGTTAGTTAAATAGAGGGTTTCGTTGTATACAGGTTCGTTACATCCAGGTTTAACTGTATACAGGAGCACACAGCATTCCACTGCCATCCAATAGGCGGTGCCAGTGTGTCCTCTTGTCGTAAGACATTTTAAGAGGTTTCAAGGCATTCGGTTTTAAGAAGTCGCAAGTGTGTGAACGAGCCTTCATTCGCAGGGCATAAACATCGGGCAGAAATTATGTTAATTAGAAGTTCTAAAATCCCACTTAAAATAACTATGCATCAGACAAACAAACTGAAAATAATTGCCCTTGGAACCTTATCCTGTTCTGCTAATTTAAGTCGGCTGAAGCATGCTGTGAAACTAGAGAGAGTGACAGAGAGGGAAAATAATATTATAAGAGACAAAGAATGAATAGTGGACTAGTGAAAACACAAGAATCAAAGCATAAAAACACCAAGGGACAAGGCCAGACCTTTTGAAAGAACTGTGCAGTCTGTCCTTGTACCTAAGTGCTTTTATTCTTTCTATGATTCTTGTACTTTTATAACATTCCCAAAACTAAGACAGCCAACATTTTTTTCTGAACTTACCTCCCCTCCAGGCTTGACCAGCCGCAGCGCAGCCTCGGCAGCGTAATAGGCTGCCTTCATCACATCCGCCTGCTTGCCTTTCACCTTGTTGTCCTGCAGAAAGAAGTGTTCTTTAGTAACACGGAGCATTCACATGCTTTCCAGCTACAGTGTTCACCCAAGCATAGGTCAATACATACAATTAAATCTCATATTTCAAGCTCTCCTAATTAGAACTAGCGGATAATTCAAACTAACATGCAAGTCCCATCCTATGCGTCTCTATGGGAGGAAGCTTTCGGTAATTCAAACTGCTTTATTCAAACAAGTGTTCGGTCCCCCTCGATTTCAAATTAACAAGATTCGACTGTATTTTTCTACGGCTCTGTTCCTTAAAATTAGGGGTGACGAGGAACTGTGATAAAAGGAGGTCATCCTATATTATGGTGAATTCCGCACGCAGATCTCAAGCGCTCCATTTGGAGCGCACATAATTCGCCCATAGATCTCTGGCAGCGCCTGCGCTGTGGAGCACCTCCAACACTCCCGAACTTGATTTGCAGCATTTCAGAGATTTTGGCAGAAGTTGACAGAAGCGTGCGACGTCATTTCCTTTTACTCGGCGATGCGCATGCACAACGAGGTCACCGGACCGCCGTCGAGTTGGATCTGTTCGGATGCGTCGGTTGTTTACGCGGGATTTTGAGGGCTCGAACGCTTCTACCTCGCGTAGATAAGGGGTGCAAAGCTGGGACTGGAGCGTGGCAAGTTGTAAGCGCTGACATCTGTAATCGTAAGAGGAAGATTGACAAAAAAAAAAAAAAAACGACAAAAAATTGGAAGGTTAGGCCTGTTCATTTTGCAGCCACTGGTTGTTTACCTTTTTACAATACATGCCGCCGGCTTTTTCTCAAACAATCGAGCAAGAACAGATTAGGCAACAACCATGCCAGTGATGGTTTGTTGCCTCTTTGTGTTTATTGAAGTCATACCAACAAGCTGAACTCCACCAATGGCAACCGCTGTGCGTGCCCCGCCACTTCGAGGTGGCCAAAAGGTATGCGACAGTGGCAAACGCAGACATCTTCTTCGTTATTTGTGACATGGGTTCCGTGGTACGGATATTTTCGCCGCCTGTGCCGCGTGTTATTTCTGCAGATAAACGTCAACAGTTGTCACTGGTCGTTCGTCGGAAAGATCAATCGGCTGAGCCGTTGGTTGGCTTGTCAATTTTGATTTAAACGGCCGACCGAGTCGGTGGGTTGCTCGCAAAATGCAAGTCCATCTTCTGCTCGTCGATTCGGAGCGGGTCCCACGGAACAAACTTTTGCCTCCCTCGCGGATTTCGGATATCGCGACCCCCCACCCCAACCACGTGGAGATGCGGCAATGCTGGTCGTCGGGCACATGGCGTGGGACGGCGCCTTCGCTGACGCCATTAGGGCGGCCCTCGTCCGGGCCCCGGGGGCCGGGGCAGCAGCACTGTGGGCGGCGCCTCCACCTGGACAAGAGGCCGACGTTGCCAGCCTTTTTCTTTTTTTTTCTCTCGTCTAGATGTGTATTTTTTTTCATTTAGTATGCAATTAAATGCAAAATTTTTCGGCATTGTATGTTCGTGTCGGTCGGACCGTTTGCGGGTGCAATTGGCTAAGGAGGGAGGAGTGTGGGGATCGTGATCCTTCAACATTCTTTCGCGTCGGCGTTTTGGCGCGCCGTGGCGGCCGCGCTGACGTAGCAAGAGGATGCGCTGCTTACCACTGTGAGTGGCTTCCTCTTCTCCCACCTTGGGGCAATTTTCATTACGAACCCGTGAAGAAAGGAGATCCGACGTGTCGCTCCTTGCTTGGCCCCTTCGCCCCCACGGTTATCTTAAAACCAACGGACACCAGGATCTTGCTCTCTCCTTCCTGGGATTTCGGCGGCGGTGACAACGGGGAACCGTCCGGTGCACCGGTGAGCGTTTACTCCGTCCCTTTGTTCTTTGTGAATAACCGTTCGGCCGTGGGCGATCTCCACACCGACGGCGTTCACCAGCTCACAGCCGCTGTCTTCTTGTTATTTGTTTTTTATCACCGTGGCCAACGTGACTGGTTTCTGTTTGCACTCAACAAGCAGCATGCCACGCGAGTACGAACCCGCTTTGCGGTAGAGCGTCTCGCCGCGAACGTGGTACTCCCAAAGGTAGTGCCCCCAAGAAGAACCACAAAAGAGGAGGAGCGTAAAGTGTGATGCTCGTGCAAACCTGGCCCATTGGTTCCCCAACAATTAATTGCGCAAAAAACAATGGGACCTCCACCGAATTAAATACTCAAGATCCACCGCACCAACAGACTACAAAAACAACTTCTACAGAAATAGCGAGAGTTACTATAGTAGACTCGGGCGTCCCCTCTTCTCGGCAAGCTGGAGTATGCAAACTGCCACACCGCTAAATACGCACGTGGCTTTTCATCTTTACATGTCTCGATACGGTAAAACTACACATAGGTATCTTTCCAAGGTCGTGACCGACGTGCACTTACCGGTCCGGCCCCGACGACCACTGTGTGCGCCGCCACGGCGATGAAGCCGTCGATGTGGGCCCCCAGGTCACTGCATGTGTGGTCAAAAGACAATGAACAAGGTGGGCAGGCATTTGAGGCACACAAGGAAGTGTGCACGCTTCGTCTCCTCCTGCCGAGCGACCGAATGTCTGGGGCTGGAGACCGTCACATAAGTCATACGCTCGTATAAATGCCCGTTTATATATATAAAAAAAAAAACTGCATGTACAGTGCGCCTCAAACTTAACGCCGCCACGAGTTGGTTCGGTTTCTTCACTTTATGAGCTATTCCTGGACATAGCAGTCAAAATTGTTGGTGAAGATTTGCGCCCCCGATGAAAACTTAACCAGGGGAAGGTATTCCAGCATCTGCAGCGATCAATTCATATCTGGGTAGCACGCAATAAAATTGAATGGATCAATATTTGCGAAACCGAGTGGCGGTGTTAAGTTTGAGGGGGTGCGTACATTGCGCCTTTGTACAAGTCACACATTTCCACGATGAGTCCATAGATCTGCATCTTGGTTGCAATGTACACAATATAGACACTTCATCGGTGATAAAACATCTTCCTGCGGCCTTAACTATCTACTAGCAGTGCACAGCGGCAGCGTGGCATTTGTGGGACATAGATAAAAGCAAATGTGGCAACTGGAAGTTGACGTCGGCTGCCGAAAAGTCTCGGAGGGCCACAGTTATAAAGCACCGTGAAGGATGGCACACGGAGTCGCCGCAGCTGCAGACCTACACTGCCACGCTTCAAACCACCCCCGGGCTGCTCGAAGAGCAGGCCTTTGGTCGGTGCTTTGCTCCACTGTTGTGAATGTCAATACGGCCTCTAGTATCCTGCAGAATTATTCTCAGTACATAAAAAAAAAAAAAAATAAATAAAGTAAATAAATTTGGAACATTTTTTTTTATTCTTTAATTAACCTTAATTATAATCATAATTAGAAAAAAAAAGTCTTAGCAGCAAGTTGGAGCACTCACAGTTTGACCATGTCTCCCTCCTTGAGGATGTACTCTGCATCCGACTTGAGAGGGGAATAGTGGCAGATGCAGTTGTTCACAGAGACGCACGTTGGAAAGGCGATACCTGCGCAGGAAAAACAAATCCCCGTAAAGCCCCATTCGCACAACGTCCCTTCGACGACGCAACAAGGTCATTCCCACGGGAACCCGCCTTGGAGGCTCCGAGTCAACCTATGGGTTCCCAGGTGGTGGTTCTGATACGGGTCAAGGAGGTCGCGACGGACCTTTTGCTAAATCACCCGAGCACCGAGAGCATACTGCGAGTGTAGTTATGCACGCTGCCCTTTATTTGCAGAAGTAACGTTCCAAAGCAAAAATCTAAACTCACGGCACTTTCGAAGTGCATTTGTTATCGCTTCATTTAGGCTGTTCACTTTGAATCTTTTATACAAGTAAGGTGAGCACGTACGGCTAACCTGCCTTCCTTTCAAGCATTCTTTTTGGTGCTTCGGTAAAAGCTGTTTGATGAATGCTCGTTGTGATGTAGTTGCTGCGTTAACTTATAGATTAAAAAAAAACACCAGGAAGTCTAAATTATTTTCCAGTACATTGCTGGTGCAAGCCAGATGCGCTTCATTGGCTTTTAAAGTCAACCTCTAAAAATTTTTTTTTTTCACGTTGTGAGAGCATTAAGAATTTTTGTGAGCTTGACTACAATTTAAAAGGGAGGACTCCTCAAAGTTAGTGCTAAGCCCCAATCCACAACTTGTTCTGGCGGTTATGTAAGGCCTGCTTGGCAGAACAGCTGCATTACAAGCAACTAAAGAAGAACTAAAGAAGGCTTTGAATCAGTCTGATTAGACTGACAACTAAATCCATGAGTGCTAAGCATCCTGAAATACCCAAAATTACGAACATGTTTGACATGACCGACACGTTCGGCTTCACTGCCACACTCCCTCTCAGAGAAGGCTTTCTAATTTTGTCAGAAAAAGGGGTGTGGCACACGAGTTTTATCATGCTTTTAGAAACAAAAAAATCAATCGCACATGACAGCAATTTATTTTTTTAATAGAATGTTTAGTGCACACAGTCCGAGTTATTGCTGAAACAAGAATGAAAACAACAAACCTTTTTAGAGGCCTTTCAATAAACAAACTTTTGGTTCACCAATAAACATCATCAGTGATGTAATTGAATGAATTTGGAGTTTTCTGGCGCAGCAGCAACATAGGCCATAGTGCGCCAAAGTGATGTAATTGGCCCGAGCCGTTTTCTGCGGCGACGTGGGTCTCTGGCAACACCAGACGTTGCGCAACCACGGTGACTGGCAGACAGGGACATAATGTAGTTTTTCCAAGGCCGTTGCCTTCAGGAGCGAGTGCTTCAGCTCGCAAAGTAACTCTCGCCATGCATAAACATGGTTTCGTTTCACAGCATGACGGCATGGCTGGTACCCGGCATGCTACCGTCGGAGCGTCCACACACGGCCGTGTTTATCGCAGACATTATTTTTAAAAAGACGTGAGACAAGATCCACTAGACGACGAAAGCATGATACAAGAGACGGCAGGAAAAACCATGCAAGACCGGATGGACGATTGGTGCAGGATACTTTGTGTCAGGCGGCCGCTTATGCCACCCAGCTCAGGCATGCTCAATTACGGTACTCAGTTTAGTTTCGGTTCTGAAAGGCGACCAAAATTGGCCCTTTGGCGCACGCTTGGCGCAGATTACCCATATTTTGGCAAAATGTAGCAGGATGTAGCAGGGTTAGCCCCTTGGCAAAGTTTGGTGCAATTGGCACAGCAATCACATCACTGCATTATGATCTTGCCTTGATGTCGCACCTGGTTCAGCAGGCATTAAGAAAGAGCGTCCCACCTTTCTTGAGCTCCTTCTCCTTCTTGAACACTTTGCTTGTTTCCTCTGCCAGCTGCCGATCGCCTTCTTCGCAGATGGCCAGCACGGTTGTTCCAGCCTTGCACATGGTAATCAGCTGCTTCAGGATCTCTGTAATGGAAGAGTAAATCATGCAACTTGGCACCCAGACTTTTCCGAGGCTCCGAAGAAGCTTTCGTGGCAATTAAGGTTCTCCTCAACAGTCTGGCCAACCACCCACTTCATTACCTTTTCACTGCGGCTGGGCCAGACAATATTTATTTTGCAAAAGCGAGATGCGCCCAACTGTCAGGCTCGGTGGACCTGTGCCGCACCACGTGTAGGTGCAGTTTCCCAAGCCCACGTGTTAGCACCACTGCCACCGGTTACACCATGATAGGCTCATGTACACTGCCCACAATCACAAAGGCACGGGGAGACACCCCTTTCCTAGTATGACATAGTAAGCAAAGCATGCATATTGATGTAGCACATTTTCCCACAGCCAAATATTTAGTTGAAATAACCATATGAATCTTAAATATATACATTTCATGATAAAAAAGAAAAGGAAATGCGAGGTGAGCAGCTTCTGGCAGCATCAACTTGGTCATTAAAAAAAAAAAAAAAAGAAAAAAAAAAACGCAATATTGATTTCTGAAAAGAAAAAACTTTTAAACAGTGGTTGGGATGTGCGTGTCAAAAAATAAATTTTACGCAAATTTCCTTTTTTTTTTTTTTAGAACAATATTGACGGTGATAGATTTAGTTGAAATTCTGTGTGCACAGTCTATGACGTCATGAAATGGTCATTCGCTCAATGAAATGGTAATTTGCTCTTTCCACTTCAATGTGAAGGCGAAGCCAATCCACCCCTCTTCCATGCACCCGAAATGCAAAGAGAACATAAGTGGAAAGGAGGTGACTAACGACTAAATCGCGTCTCACGCCATCAATATAGAGCTAAAAAAATTTTTTTTGGATATTAAATTACTTTTTTGACACGCAAAAACATTTTTTTTTTCAGGGTTTTTTTAACATGTCAATAGTGCTGTGGATTCTTAAAGGGAAGCTGTGTCAAACAACCTATCTTGAATCAACAAAAAAGTATGATTTTATAATTTCTAATAAGGCAATGCGAATATCCAATTGAAAACTACCGTAGAATACCCAACAAGCGTCCACTCAAAATTTAGAGGTAATCGCAAAGGAAATGAAGGATGGGCGCTTGTCCGGTCATCAATTTTACATATGAATGTACTGTGCATAATTTCTCATGCGCCCACTCAAAATTTAGAGACAATCGCAAAGGAAATGGGGGATGGGCGCTTGTCCGGTCATCAATTTTACATATGAATGTACTGTGCATAATTTCTCATATCTTACAAATTTGGGTATGGGCGCTTAGTGTGGAATGGGTGGATGTGTATTATTCTACGATATGTATGTAAAAAAAGGTGTTTGAATTGCAACATTCCTACCAGAGGGAGAACCAGCTGCACTTAGGAGGGGGGCATGTGACTGCAGAAGTTGTATTCCGTTGTGTTTATTTCTTTGCCGCACCCATTCTAAAGCAGAGGACACACGAGCTACGAAAATGGGCGCCACACGGCAGTTTCCATAGCACCTTGCGTGGATGCTGTGACGACGACCTTACGTTATGCTGCCACGTCAGAGCGTCCGCGCAAGTTGCTATGGAAACTGCTGCGCAGCCCCTGGTTTTGTCGCTCACGTGTCCCCTGCTTAAAAAGCCACTGAATAGAAGAATACTGTTTTAAACAATCCAATTAAAATACACAAATTAAAAAAAGAAATTATGTGACCTTTTATTTTTTTTAGAGCAATATTGACGGTGAGACACGTGATTTAGCTGGTAATCACCTTCTTTCCACTTGTTTTCTCTCTCGGCATTTCAGGCGCGTCGAGGAAAAGTGGGATCGGCTTGGCCATCACGTTGAGGTGGAAAGAGTGTATGACCATTCCGTGACGTCATGGACTTCGTGCGCAGAATTTGAAATAAATCTCGCGCCATCTACATTGCTTTAAATACATATATATATTTTTTTGCATAAATTTTGTTTTTTTGGCAAGCGTGTCCCTGTTCTAAAAGAAAATTTTTTTTTCTCTTTTCAGTGGCCCTTTAAGATTTTTTTTCTCCTCCTTGAGGGTGCAGAATCAATGTTTCCCGTCGAGCAAAGGGGGGAAAAATAAACGTACAGCAATCCAAAATCACAGTTCAGCTGCAAACCATGCAACACCCTAAAATGCTCACAATAACACCTGTGACAACCTGTTTTCTCTTTTAGCTAAGCATTGGTGGCAATTTTCATAGGGCAGCCATTGTATTTCCAAGTTCATGACAAGTGGACTGGCCAAACCAAAAAAATACACATCTGGCAAAGCTTTTTTTCTGTTTTCTTTACAAACCTCACCGTAACAATACCAAGAATCAGCACATAGGACCTTTATTGGACTGAACTAGCGTGCTCCGCAAGACGGGCTACATAGTTTAGTGGTGCAGACAAAGCCTTAAAAATAACATAGCCATTACACCAGAAGTAATGAAGGGTCCCTCCAGCCTCATACAACAAAAAAGAACCATCTTTAATTTGTGTGGCTACCTGCCAGTGTTGGAAGATAGTTCTTTAATGTAGCCAGATATTGCATTTCACTCCACATAAGGTTTGCAAGAAACATATTTCTGGGTGGCAGACTTCATTCATGAGCTTTCTGTACTTAGTTTGTTTAGAACACGGGTCTTCAAACCCTGGCCCGCAGAAGTCTTCCGAATGGCCCGGCCCGCTCCCAGCAGACCCACTACTACTGGTGCAAAAAGAAGTGCCTATGAAGAAAGGGTGCTGCAACGTGCTCCGAATGGGCCAACGAAGACACCAGGAAGAATGAGAGAAACTGCATCATAGCACAGATCCTCTCGCCATAATTTTCATTAAACATTGTCAGCAACAACCACTATTTTTAGTACCTTGCTTCATGTCTGCGTAACTGTGTTAAATATTTTTTTTTGCATTCTCATGAACATTGTGTTTAATGCCCTCTGTGACAACTATTGCTGTGAACATGAGATTTATCATTTTGATTAGTCTTTTTTAAACAGCGTGAATGTGCCAAAGTTTTTATGTGCTTTGATTTAGGCCTCGTAAGATTTCTTGGTCAAAACGGTTGTGTGATGTCATAATTAACTAAATTCAATTGAGTATATGCAATCACCAACCATATGATTTTTTAATACTAACAGCCTATTCACACAGGAGCATTTCTTTTTATTGCATTATAAATAGGATTTTGTGTTTTCGGAGTTTTTTTGTGAAATTTGGAGGGTGTTTTCTTCGGAGTTTATTGCTAGCTGAAAATTCGGTGTAAATCGAAGTTTTTTATGTTAAAATAAGCACTAAATTCATGAAGAAATCACCGGTACCGAATTTCTGCAGCTGTATTTGGCATTTGAGCCCTTGCGATTGGCAGTACTAATTGTCCCACAATAACAAATCTTGAAAACAGTGCTACTTTAATAAGCGACAATACTTTGAAATAGCCAAACTCCTGGACGCATAAAAGCTTCAGCTGCCCTTCCACCACTACAAGTTTGCATATTTCACTTTTATAAAACACAACTCCTCCTCCCTCTCTAAGTACAAATGGTATGGTTCAAACTGGAACTGTGGCTTGTGTCGTGGTCCAGGTGCGCATTGGCCTATTGCACTGAGCGAACCTTGAAAAGACAAATAAAAAACTCCCTCTTATTTATAATTAAAAAAAAAAACTGAACAGATCTTTTTTTTAGGATTACTGATTCTGTGCTATGACAAACTTTATTAGTAAAATACCGTCTTTTTCTGCTTTTTATTTTGCCATGACGACCTCAAAATTCCGAGTTTTTTTTTTTGGGGGGTTGATAAGTTTAAATTGATGCAAAATTTTACTGGCGAGCGTTTTTCGGGGTGTATCGGATTTATCCGAAAACACTGAACTTTAGTTATAAACTATTAAAACACCCGTGTCTCGAATGGCGCGTGCAAGTCAAATCCTTGAGCTGGTTGCAGAGATACAGACCAGCGCCTCCTCTATGGGCTAATGCCTGTCAGATCCCGCTCTTGACCAGGGTTGCCAACGGTCTCCATTGCCATGCGTGAATCCAAGCTGCGACACCAGGCGGCGCGCCAATCCTATCCCCAGCGAGCCTTTCGTGCAGCCACAGCGAACTGTACATGGCAGCTTTGTCCGGAATAAAACATCAGATATAAGTAACTTAAGGCACAAATCGTGATTAAAAGTAACACTGTACGTGAGGCAAGTGAATATGATAAATGGGGAAGTGAATTAAAAAAGCTCTGATCGAAAATTTCTTGGCGATGCCGTTTAAGCTGCACTCGGTGGCAGCATTCTGAAATGAACCACCCTAACGCGGTGGCTTGATTTCAATCACAGTTGCCTGAATAAAAAAACAGTTTATTAGTGCAAACGCAATTCTTAGAAGTGATTATTCACAACAAATTAGGTAAGTTTTACGAACTTCCATGACAAAGGCTTCGCGCCGTATAGATTTGCGACAGTGTTCTTGTCCATCATGTCGGCTACGTAGTTTGAGAAGGGGCTTCACAAACATCATGCAGAGCAGTTCTAAGAAGAGCTGTCGGCGTTGTCTGTCGCCACTTCTGCACAGCAAAGTGGGCAGGTCCATCCTGACTTGTACAACACGTTCCATACTTGTCTGCAGGGGCTTCACAATGTTCTTTCTGTGGTGCTGCAGTGTGGTGTCCACAAAACTCTTCAGTGCCACCATCTACAGGTGCACTGGATTTTAGGACAAGAGCAATGCACCTGTCACAGTTTATCTTTTCCAAAATAGCTGTTTCAATAAAGCCTCCCACCATGGCAATGCTTGCAGCACCAGGACCTGGCTGCTGGGGCCTTGGGGAGACGCAGAGCTGCCGAAGTTTCTCTTCAGCTATCAGTGGGAAGCTGATGGTTGCCTTCGTTGGATTGCTGCTAACGGTGACCAGAGAGCCAGTCTGGTATGAGCTCGAGCTGCCCACGTTGCTCTGGTTGGACGATGCAATGAGACCAGTTTTTTGCATCTTCTCAAGGCCATTCAGTGCAGCCCTCATGTCCAGGGCATCATTGCATCCTGCTGTACGCCTCAGAAATCTGAACAATGCTTCAAGTGGATCACTTGAGAACTTTCAGGTCAGCACAAACCCAAATTCTCTCTCGCTAAGAAGATATCGGATGCAGTCAACATTTGAGTGTGTGGTCAGAACGAGGGCATGGTAGGTCTCCTTGGTCAAGAAGTTTTGAGGCAGGCTGTTCCTCTTTAGCTCCAATAGGTATTCAATGAATACAATTTCAAGCCAGTCCAGTCTTTCATCACAGGGGCTGCTGAACTGCTTTGTGTTGGGGTGATAAGTGAATGTGTTGTTTGCAGTAACTCACATCCATAAGCAGGAACCACCTATGCATCGTCTTCATGAACTCAACAGTGGGTTCCACTGATGCGAAGTCCACATCGCACGTGTGCCCAGCTTGATCCTTTATGAAGCTTAGTGCTGCCGTGACCAGAGGAGAAAATATCTGCACGGCACTTTGCACATTCATCTTTTCAATATTTGTCGGGATGTGCTTTCTTGTTAAAACCTCACCAGCTTTACAGTGCTCCCAGCCTGCATCTTATACAATTTCTTTATGTGACTTGAAGAAATTTCTTTGTTTCCACCCAACTCTCTTGCGAGAAACTGAGATCTGACATTTTTGATAATATGCGACTGGTCAAAGGCAAGGAAAAGCTTTCGCTGGGTGTCGACTGGATGGGGCATACAGTAGCTTCCAGCTCCATTGCAGAGGATGTCCATTGCCGAGATGTTTACCTCGTGATTGTACGACACCAGCCTTACAACCTCAAGGCCCAACTCAACATTCCGGATGATGTGAAGTATCACTGTAGCAAGTTGGTCGCCGCTACATCCCTTCGTGAAAAAATACCCCACTGGTATTTTAAAGCCCACAGACAAGCCACAGAGCAAAAAACAGAGCAAAGCATTGGCGAGAGAGTTGTCATAATTCGATACCAAATGGCCCCGTTCTGCGCTCATGTCCACGTTCCCAATGAAGGCATCTCGATGCTTGTGGTATTCGAGGCGTTGTCGAATATGCATTTCGTCAACGACAAGGCTGCACACTCTTGACTGAGGTGTTTTCAGGTTTTCAACCTCGGTTCGTAGACGGCTGTAAACCAATGAACTGAAGCCAACCTCTTCAGCGAGGTTCCCAACATAATTTTGCAACAGGTTTCGGCAAGGTAGCTTCAATAGTTGTTCTTGACAGATGTACTCGTAGCTCTTGGTTGATAGGTTCCTCAGAATTATACATTGTCGGACAGTTTCTGACCAGGTTGGCCTCTTCTTCTTGAAGTTTAAGACTTGATCCAGTATCATGCGAGTCATTTGGTTCTGCTCGTCGGCTTCCTGCACAAGCTCGAGGAATGAATCAACCTTGCATTCCTCTTTCAATAGTCGCAATTCCTCTTTATACTTATCGACTGTTTGCTTCAGCCTCTCCACTCGTGCCTGGAGCATCATTTCCTTCCGGCGCCATTGTCTCCGTTCACAGAATGTAATAGAGCAATTCCTCTTCAGGGTTTGTGTCCCACATTCTCTCCTTGCATAGGCAGTTCTTTGGGTAGTTGCAACCTTCAGCAGATGGTGCGTTTCATTACTTCTGGTGATATGAGGAACCTGGTTGTGACGAGTCCGGTGTTTCATGTTCGGGCCTTTTAGCAGCAGGCTCATTGATCACCTCAGGATGCAGAATACCAGAAGTGTCCTCATCCACGTTGCTGGAAGGTGTTGCCAGTAGCCCTTGGTCCATATGTTGTAACCAAGCAGTCTTTGCCTGAAGGGTTCTCTGAACATCTTGCACCTTCGCAGTAGCTGGTGGTTCCCTTTTTCGCTTGCTTGCTCCGTTGCTCGGCAGGCGCTGGCTTCATGTAAGAAGGGTATCCCTCGAATTTGGTGGGAACCGCTCCTTGAATCAACCATCGCGTTTTTGTAGTCGTCTTGAAGCAGCTGTCCTCGAAGTGGTTGCTACACACAACAGAATAGTTGGATGTTGTGTTCGGCTGCCAGTCCTTACGCGAGATCGCCTTCAGCCACTGTTCATGCGACACGACATCAGCCAGAATCTCGTGAAAGGAGACTCCAGGTTGCTTCTTTTTACTGTTAGAGGTGCAGAACGGGACGCAGCAGTAAGGCATGCTTGCGGCACTCTTAGCATGGCAGTGTACCAATTCAAAATCGCACAAAAGTTTGCAGGCAAGTCAAGATAACCGGCTTCAACGTTGCAAAAAAACCTACTGAGAATACGACGCCTGCATTGAATGCAACACCCGCTAGCTCGCCAGAATGCCCAGATAGTCCAAGTTTGCAGACCGCTGTCCCTTCTTCCCGCGGCGCGGGAGAGCACGGAGCCTCTAACGTGGACCAACTGGGTGTCAGGTCCCGCGGCTCCAGGGCCAGCCAGAGTATTTTTAGTGTCTTGCCCGGATGGTTTGGGAGCTTGACTTCCCTTCTCCCACGAAAATAATGCTGCTCAGAGACCGACCGACTTGAGACTTGTACGTGTATTTTGAGTGATTTAATAAAGTCAATTGTGTTTATTTTTCAACGATGTTGAGAATCTTGGTAGGCTTGCTAGTACAGCGTCTCAGCTGAGACTGGGAGAAAGAAAGCACTGCAAAGGCTGGGGCGGCGCACGAGAGTTTTGAGATGCGGTTTGAGTCTTGCTCAGCTCGTGCGCTGGCTTCGGCAGTGCTTTCTTTCCCCCCAGATCAGCTGAGACGTTGTTTCTAGTGAGCCGCCCTTGGTGTCTCCGCTGTAGATTGTCCATTTGGCCAGTGTAGTACGGCTGCGATCATTTGTTTCATCATAACTGGGAAACACTTTAAAAGAAAATGAGACTGCAGCACAAGCTGAAAACTGCGCTTTAATACGCCCTTTAATATATGTGTCTCACCCGGCCACCGCTACATTCCTTCGTGAAGGGATGTAGCGGCTAGTATTTTAATCCTTTTTTAAATATACACCCTGTAACATCCAAGACCATGCTCTTTTATTTATTTTCGTCTAAACAAACAATGATCGCAGCTCCGCACGGCCAGCGGGGCCGGCACGGCGTTGACGGCGACGGAGAGCAGAGAGCAGTAAGATACGAGCGTCCCTAGCAGCAAGGCGCATAGAGCGAGAGGAAGTTAGGAGAGGGCATGAACCTGCTCTTTGGACTCTCTTGCCAGGCATTACCCCATAGAGGAGGCGCCGTACAGACGAAGCACGGTTGCACCGGTGACACTCGACATAAGCGCCCGTAACATAACCTATGGTAAGCAGATGGGGCTGTGTGAACCGGGCTCTACTCTAACATTCAGTACTGTGTTTGAATGCTTATTTATGTTTATTTATTCAGTTTTTAATTACTCCATTCCTTTCCGGCCCTCAAGACTGCAACAGATCTCTATCCAGCCCCTTATCCAAAAGTTTGGAGGCCACTGGTCTAGAACAACGAAAATTAACGAAGCAGGAGGTAAGGCATCCGTAAACAGAAAAGATGTCAAACCAAAAAACCCACTGTAAAATACCGGGGGTGCGCCCACCCTACTTTCACGGAAAACTAGACTAATCTACACATGGGCACTTGTCCGGTCAAATTGGGTGCTTATGCCCATGTTCACTAGAGCGACAGACAAAAACAAACGACAGCGACAAGCCTCAAACCAGTCTTTCGCGATTTGAGAGGCTTTGTAGAATAAAGGAGGCTTTGCTCAAACATGAGCATCATGCACGCGAGGGTATCTTTGGCAGGCTTGCAATCGTTCGTGCTTACTTCACGAGCACTGAATGACTACACACCTGCCGAAGGTACCATCGCGAGCATGCTGCATGGGTTTGAGGCTTGTCGCTGTCTTTTGTTTCTGTCTGTCGCTCTAGTGGGACCCGGGCATTAAGTATAATTCCCAACATTGGAACACGTTAATAGTGGGCGCTTGAACGAAGAGAAAGCTTCAGCAGTATTTTACGGTACAGACACCAACGTAACAAGTGAGCACATATGCTGTCACTAAGTGGGTGTTTTGGAACAGTGAAAACCTTCGGCAGTCTTATCGAACGCCCCCTGTAATCCAGTAGTGCGTTATTTGTTTCCCGTAAAGCTAGCGGCGGCAGCTGCGGTTCACGCACGGGATCACGCAGCTGCCATATGGATGACATGCGGAAAACGATGCCGGTTTCGAAGAGTTAACATAGCATCTGCGACGTTCGCGCCACCTCTAACAACAATGCATATAAGTAAATACTGACGAGGCAAACCGCAAAGTCTTTCAAAACAAGCAGTTTGGGCATAGGGTCAGTGTTGGAGGGACTGACCTAGAAAGAGGAAAGCTACGCCGGGGGAGCGGTAAAAAGCAAAGGCATTTCTTAAAAAATTTCGGAATAAGCAAGCAAGAATAAAGAGGCTAAAAGAATATTTGGAAACAGTCTGCACTACAGGATTGAGGTTTTATCACTGGTAGTCGGATCACGTCCAAAGATCCACCTCTCCCACTCCCGACGTGACATAGCACGTGCACTGCCCCTCAGCTAGATAATTTTTAATTAAAATATTATAATTTAAGCGCTTTTGTGAGTTTTAATTTAAGCACTTCCATTATTAAGAATAAATTAAACTTCGGCGAGCTGCAATCTTTGCGGCAACGAAACACGTTGCCGGAATCCCCACATGTGGCATACTGCCCACGCGCGATACACCAAATAGGGTGCTTTTAGGCGGAAGAACTTCGGCGTAGGAATTTTGCGGACACAAAGGGCAAAGCAAAAATGAACCTACTATTGACCATCTCGCCAGCCATTTTGTACTTGGTGACCACCAAGTCCTGAGCGATCGTCGGCTCATCTTCTTTGTCCGCCATGTTTCATGAACACGGATAAATCCCGGCATCCTTTGCGGGATTTGCGAATGCTTGCGAAGATGGCGGGAAACCCAGGAACGGCCAGCACTGAAAATCCAATCCAATCCACCAAACCCAAACTATTTTTTAAGCAAAATTAATAATATTTTTTCCGACAACTGGGGTAAGTTGGTTTCCCCCATTGTACGCCCAAAGTAAACAGTGACCGCATAGCAACATTTTGTATTTTGAAAGAAAAAATATTTGATCGCTTTTTGCGTGACAGGTGACAGCTGCTTCCGGCTTTTTATTGTCCCCTTCCTGCTTCCTGTTGTTTGTGTTTCGCGTTTGTTTTGCAGCTTTTTCATGCTTGTTTGGAGTTCCGTGGTTCTGTTTGGTTAGTTTGGTGAGGCTGGTGAAACATCGTGGTTTGGTTGGTGCTACGTTTGACGGCAGCCAGCGGTACGTGCGTCGTTTTTCCGAGTCTCCTCACTTCTCACCAGGCACAGTTGACGCTCGCGGGTTCCTGAGAAGCTCATAGCTTGTTGGCGTACTCGCTTGAAAACCTTACCCCAGATGTTAGATGTATTAGGTTTCAAGTGATTTCCCCGGCAAATTTATCTAGCTGTCGTAGAACTGTGCCTAAAAACGAAGCGAGCTAGCCACTTTTCTGTTTTGCTGATGTGAAGGAGTCGCAACATCTTCATTTCGTCCCACGCAGGTCATCACCGCGCGAATGAACTGTCGGCAGACACCTGCCTAATTTGCACGGCAAAGAAGCTGCTGCCAGAAGCGCCCAAGCATGTCTAAGCAACTGAGCTGGCAATCCCAGCGTCAATTGGCTTTCATCTCGCTCGCCCTCGGTTTCCTGGTCATCTGGACGGCCGTCCTGGCTGGGCTGCTCATCTCAAAGACGCTCAAGGTACGACCCGGAGTGCCACAGCTTTTCTTTTTAAATTGACAGTCCACCAGCCTTCGGAAAACTTTTTGGCGGGGACTGCGCTCTGGGTGGGCTTACTTGTCAAAACATAGAAAGGCACACAGTATTTGGAGCTGGAGCCTAAATGAAGCGCCATTTCATTGTAATGTCATAAACAATAAAAATGTTCAAAACTTAGTTACTACGACAAACAAGGGTGCAAATTAGCTGGTGAAGGTGAAACGTAGTGCCCAGGCAGAAATTTTCAACTGGGATCCAACTGGTTGGTACCTTACCCAAGACTGGGTGTTTACTACAGGACGGCACAAACTCAAAGAAGTCAAAGTCAAACTTCTACATGTTTGGATCTTCCTGTAGTAAAACCCCAACCTCGGGTAAAGTTTCTATGTTTTAATTACTACAGCTTGCAAAATGTGTCAAAAAGAGTGCCATACTGTTGAGCGAATTCACCGAACCCAGGCATCATAGTAGGATCACTCGACTTACCTGAACCGGTGCAGAAAAGTGCAGCGCAGTGTACCTCCAGTTGAGTTTGAAAATAGGCTGTGCTCATAAGTCTAATACGGCGGTGTGCACCGAGTTTAACTGGTGCATGTAAACAAAGCGCAGAAACTGTCTGTTGCTAGTTAAGAAAAGCAGGACAAGCTTCTCTTACAAAGTCCTCCATGCTTTTCACTTGAACAGAGCAAGCGGAGAAGCCACCAACCATGGCAAACAGAGAGCTTTTTGTGAGAGGGCTTGTCTGGTTTTCTTCACCTGCAACAGACTATAGGATTGGGTACTTTTTCTGCACTTTTTGCGAAATAAAATATCTTGGACAGAAGAAGAGGGTTGGATTATTTTTCTTCAATGTACCATCTAGGCTGTCGGAACCAAGTGTATGCACGACCTGGATGGAAGCCATGCATATGCTCGATTGCCATTTTGGTAGCCTTTTCAGCTGAACGTGTACCTTTGGCAACATACATTTTGCACCAACCATGTATAAAGCCAGATGGATAATAAACCATCTCAAGACAAAAAGGATTATGAAACTAGTAATCCACTTACCGCAAATAGGATCTGGTGGTTTACATCATTCCTTCAGTTCCACCTTTTTTGTAGCAATAAAATGGAGAAGGGACATGTACTTGGCATTTTGGGGTGGTACTGGTTTGTTGTGTTTCAGATATCTAGTCACTCTCAAGAAAGCCCTGCTGATAGGTTAGAGCAAAATACAAGTTAGGTTAAAGTTAAGTACATAGTAAAATTGTGATCATGTTCATCTTGTCGTGCAGGAGGATGCTATTTCCAAAGAATCCCTGGCCATTTTCAAGACTCACGAGGACATTGCCAAGGTCACCTTTGCACTGGGGCATGAGATGGGTGAGTGTAGTAATGAGAATTTCAAGATCACTGCTGCATTCATATTTTTCTTCCCTGAAGCAGTGTGCTTAACTGGTCATAAATCCGGTTGAGTTCAAGTTCAGCCGCTTTCTATTGCGTTCCAACTCTGTTCCAGTTTAGGCATACAAGCGAATTATCAGTTCTATTACTGTGGTTTAATCAAGTGCAAACCAAATTTCTTGTGGCATTTGTTGAGCATCTGCTACTTTCAGTAGCCGGACACAAAGTTGGAGTGTAATGTTTTTGTTAGACCAAAATAACGTAACAAAGTGAAAAAAAGACAAGCGTAATAATTTTCTCAGAGTATGCAAACTATGTTGAGTCACTGCGTCTACTGTTTCTTTTAATACAATGTATATAAGTTTGTTCATTCAAACCGACACTGACAGGGTATTTATGCTCGCCAAGGTTTTTAGTTGTATGTGGCATGTTAGAGCCCAACTACCCAGAACAGAATTTGCGGCTCGAAATTCGGTTTCTTTCCGCTCGAAAACCGCCGATCGAGAACTGGCCGGTTTGAGTCTCGCTCACTCTCTTTTCCGTGGTCACGGGCCGTTTTCTAAGGTTTCGACGCGACCGCCAAATTTAATCAAAGTCGTGAATCATTGAAGGCACACAGTCAATACTAAAAATAGAACAAAATGTGAAACCCATTTTTTGTGGCTTCCAAAAAACTGCAAATGCGTTGATTGAAAAAAAAAAAAAAAAAAAGGTAGCACAGACAACTGGAATTATTTTTTGCGTTCACTGCATAATTCTGAACATGGCGTCGTTTCGCATATTGTGGGACTAGCGGATGGCAGCGGACGACGGGCATTGGACCTCTACTTCAGAACTGTCGTTCACAGTACCGGGGAATTCTGTCTTCCTTCGAAAGAGAAATTTTGGAACAATCGAAAGAACTGATATTCATCCCGTACGACACGCCCGACCAGCTAGCCGATTGTACAAAGACGCCGCCGAGATGTCGTCCCTTCTTGTGGCTGAAGTTTGCTCAAACGTCAAGCATGAAGTGCGTACTTCGAGTTGAATACGCACACGTGCGGTTTCTTTACGAGGTGCGAATGTGGCGTATGCGTTGTGCTGCCCGACTTCAAGCCGGGAATGTATGTATGAAAGATAAATCGGCAGCAAACTTCCGACATACAGTCGACCGGCTGCATTATTACGTATAGAAGGGTTCCTTCAATAGCTCAGTGGAAAGACGTCCACTTCACACGCAGTGGGCACGGGTTCGATCCTTGGTGTGGGTATAACATTTCCTTTTGTCAAGCATTTTGCAACGTTTATATTTCTTTTTTTATAATTACCACTGAAAAAACGCAATTGTTGGGGACGATAAGTCGCTGAACTATAAATGGTATGGGATTCCATTTTTGACACCTGCGAACTCAATGTAGTCTCTTTCCACAAAATGCAAGGTGCATATGAATCGGGTAGTGTCCACTTTCCGAGCTTTGCGTAACTGTTCTACAGGAATTGCAGCCAGCCATTAATCCCGACCCGTTAATCTTTTGGAAACTTGTACTTTCTGCCGCACAATGCCACTTTCAGATGCAGGACATGAGAGGCAGCTCTTCACGCAACATCTTGGGTGTATTCTTTTCAGAGCCAATCACGAGAATTCGACACGGGCACTCACTACTAATTGCCAACACTTAAATGTACAAAACCACTCATCTTGAAGTACAGAACAGTGAGCAGAACAAACTTAACTGCAAAGGAATCGCACGGCAAACAAATACCGCAACAAATTTCGTCTGCTACGTGCGGAGGAAAAAAAAAAAATCCGCATGGTTGAGTGTAGTTACGTGACTTCGGCCACTCACCCTATCCTCTCCACTTCGTGCGGTGCGGGAGTTTCGATTTCGGTTTGGAGCAGTTGCGTTTTTTGGCTTTGTTAAAGAAATACGTGACTCTGTAGCAAAATATTTATTGGGTAGTATTCCGACACCACGATAAATCACCTGACAAACAAGGAAAAAACAATTCCAAAAAGTAAATGTTTTTGGCAACATGCCACAGATTATTTTTTATTAAAAACAAAGAGTTTGTTGAACAAAACTCGAATTCCCATCAAATGCAGAAAGAAGTCAAGACACGCCATAAATAGGTTTTGCCTTGCAAATTACTATTTCAACTGAAATCGTTCCGGAATGCTTCATCTAAGGCAGGGGTCTCCAAACTCTTTGGCCGTTGCTGTCTTGAGGGTTGCAAAAATATTAAGTGAATATAAATGAGGAAGAATTAAACAAACAATCCTGGATAAGCATTTATATAAAATAATAGAAAGTTCTAGTAAGAATTAAAAAGGTAGAATATGAGGTGGATTAATACATCTACTTTATTTTGAAATTTAATACTTAGCTAATTATAACATTACACAATAATTGGGACCCTGAAAACTCACCAAGCATAAAGTCTTTGCACAGGAACTTTGGCATGTTCCAACAGAGCGGAAGACCAATGAGAAGAACTAAACTGATGCTGACAATACGCAATAGATACAACGCGGGACACCAAGCACAATATATATGGGAATGCAACGGTTTCCTAACATACATACTTGCACAGATATGAAGCAGGGGACTAAGAATGGAGATGCTGGTGATAAAAATGTCCAATTAATAAAATTAATTGACGTATCTTACAATAGGTAGATTTCTATCATTTTTCGCTGGTATCTTTGTTTACGCGGTTGGTCTGCGTTGCACCGCCGTTTCTTTACGTGCGCTTATTATTGCGCCAGCAGCAGTGAACCTGCTGGAAGCGGGCCGTGGGCCGGGATTCATGGGAAGAACCGCAGACTTAAAACAGCTACAGCTTAATACATATTGTCTTCATATTTTGTCTGCACCCCTGATTTATTAGACTCGAGTGCTTTGCATGTGAGTGCAAGACAGAAGAAATGAAAGTGGTATTAAATCTCAACCCCGATCGGCAAATTATTCTTTTTATAGCTGTAGTGGGTGACGTAACTTGTCCCGGCTATAGACAAGAAAAAGAGGCACGAGCCACGAATACCATCTCCGAGGATCTCGTAACATCTTTGTATTTACATCGCTCTTTGTTAGAGATGCCGCAAACTTTTTTCGAATCGAAGTTTCGATGATCAAATCAAGCGGTTCGAAAGGTTCGAAAGATTTCGATTTTTCGAATTGTCTACATCGTGAAATTCGACGGAAGTCGAATTTTCAAACTTGTTGAGCTAAGAAGTTCGACGCGTTTCGAACCGTCGAACTTATTATGCTAAAAAATTCGATCTTTTTCGAACTTTCAAACTTATTGTGCTGCAAAGTTCGATGCTTGTCGAACTTCCGAACTAGACTGACCAAAAAATTCGATGGATTTCGAACTTTCGAACTTATTTATCAAGAGAATTCGAAAAGTTTCGAACTTTCGAATCCTGAAAAGTCAGAATTTCGACGAACTTCAAACTTTTAGGGTAAAAGTTCGACGTTCGTCGAACTTCGAAAGACCAACGGACGGTTTCATTTGAATTCAAGTAGTGAGGTACATTTGTAGTTCTTATTTCTCGAACCTTTACGCGCGGTGCTGCGTTCCTTACGAAAAACAATGCCGTTTGTTTCGATGTTCTGGCATGCTTAGTTTAAAAGAAAGAAATTTCCGAAGGGGCGAGGAAGGACGACGGGTTTTTGATTATCGATTGTGCCAGATTTGAAGCGCGCTGTAGCCGAAGCTATTTGTGGTAGAGATGCTATATTTTTTTAAGAATGATCTATGTATAGCCTAGGTAAGTGCCGTCTTAAGATGTGATTATTGTTATTCAACGCGAGTTTCGAAGAAATGTCCAAACATGTATCTACATGCAATTATGCCCTAAACTTGATATTTATTTTTGTCTAAGTTGTTTGAGGTATCGCATTTAAATTAACATCACAGACAGTACATATCATTGCCATCTGCAAAATACAAAATAATGTATTTATTGTTTTTTCTCGTTAAGGAATAAATTAACTCATTGGAGAAGATTTCTAATAGTGTTCAAGTTCAGCACGTCATTAAAAGAAAACCTTTTTTTTTTTTTTTTTTTCGCTTCACGATTTTGGGACGTGTTTCTACTTTTAGCCTGTACACATTTTGGTAAAAGAAACTTGTTTCGAAGTTCTGAACCTCTGAATACGCAAGAATACAACACTTCCGGCGAATTCTTGGTAGTTTTTTTTCTCCAACTTTTTATCCCCGCATTTATTCTTTTTTTTTTTTTTTTTTTTTTTACTATTGGCACAGGTATTTAGGTTGAAAAGACATATCTTTGAACTTCCGAACCACTAAGCATGTGATGAGTAGTGCCTTCTGACAACGAGTTTCTAACAATGACCATCTACGCAATCTTTTATGCAGTGAAGGGCGACAGTGGCTATACATATGCATAAATAATTTCAGATTAAAATAAGCTCGACCACGCCCTCTTTCCCCATATTTTTTTCTTTGACAGTCCGAAATATCTGAAAAGAGTGAAAGAAACTGAAGCCCCCCCCCCCCCCCCCCCCCCCGCTACCCTCTTACCCCCCGTTTTTCCTCTTCCGACGCCACTTGTATGGTTGAACGCTCCTCGACCTCGAGTTGTGTCGGCTTTTTGCGAGGCGATTCCTCCGTCCCAGAAAATAAACCTCCAGGACAATAGACCGATCTCACCAAGCATTCGACGCATGTGCAAGGCAGCCATAACTTTAGTTCACAGGAGGCAATCGGCAGTGCACGAGACAGTTCGTGCCCTGCACGCGCAGAGCTCCAGCCAGGTTGTCGCACGCGCAAAAAGACTAAAGTTCCCTCGATGCATTGCGGCAGCGGTGGCGTAGTCAAACTGGCTGGTGAGATCGGTCTATTACAAACTTAACTTACTATATGCCAGCGTCACCCGGGCGGCGTTCGATCAGATTACTACCAGCGTGCAAGGGGTGGCGAGGTAGTTTGCCAGGTCGCTTCAAGGTTTTTCTGAGCCTCAACCTCCTGCC